ATCTACTTACCTTTTGCCTAGAGGTTAAGTATCCCCTATAGTATAAAGGATATAATAAGTAAAGTCCTTTAGTTATTAATAGGTTAAAGGTAGCCTAAGGTCTACCTATTTAGTTACCTAAGTAGCTAGGCTAGTCTCCTAGGTAGTTAATAGTTACTAAAGGTCTTTAAATATAATTTTTCTAGGCTAAATACTATATATCTAGTTATAAAAGGTTAAAAGGGGGATACTATATTAAATAGTAGACCTTTTTAGTCCTTAGCTATTAGTAATAGTTTAGATTACCTAATTAATCTTATATTTAGTATACTAGACTATTAGGGTATAAGAAAGGGATTCTAAAAAAATAAGGTAATTTAATAAAGGTTAGAAAAAGTGATAATAGTTTAAAGTTAGTGGTAGTAAAGGAGGTAGTGGGGGATAAGGCATTTATGGGTGTTCCATATGTGGGGGTGTTTCATATGTGGGTGCTTTGACTTAGCGACATCAGTCGGAAAGAGGTGGGGTGGGTTATCACGGGAAATCTCTGGAGTTTTTTTTTCATGGTGACTGGTCACCTGCGATGGCACGCACAATGGGCGGCCGGCGATTTGAAAGGCGAGGCCCGGAGTCGGCCTTTTCTGGGCGGGACCAGACGGTGGCTAGAGAGTATGGAGGGAGATGACTGGATCTCGAGTATCTCTAGCCGTGCCAACCCAACTAGACCTCCTTCTAACTTTCGGAAGTATTGCCTTGGGAAAAGAATGCAGACGCAGCTTGAGAACCCCGAGAACTCATCATTCTGCTTTAGGCAAGCAATTCTAGAAAGTGGATTTTTAACGCGCGGACTACGGAGTGATTATGACGAAGTCATTCCCTCGGCACGGGTTCTAAGGAATATCTCCTTTTGGCCCACAGTTCGCTGGCAATCAAATAAGGTGGGGGGAAGCCCGGTCGCTCCCACACCCACCGTAGTTGAGAGCGGCTATCATTTTTTTCCTTCTTCATACACTCGAGTGCCAGCGGACCGCTTCTGGAAGCCATCATGACAATTCTCGAAGGTAACAAGTTCCTACCTCTGAACTCTGGTATCACATTCAAGCAGAATATCCCCCTTTTTCCTCAATGCTCCTCCTGGGAAAGGCTTATGATAATACAGGGTGGCAGGGGTAAGTTAATTACCCCTATGATGTCGCCCCCCATAGTTGACATCGGAATAGAGGGGGAATACTCACCAAAAGTGAAGTCCCGTAGTAGGGAGGTGAACATTAGTTACCTAACACGGGTAATCAACTTCGGCCTGGTACCATCGTATGAAGCTCTGGTAAGATTTTTTCCTAGAATCGCCGGAGTTTTCTTATTTCTCTTTTCCTTCTTCTCAGTCCTTCCTAGCCAGGTTAATCTTGGTTGTCGGCTCCGTGTATCTGTAGGTACTGGAGTACGGTGTACACTCCACCGCATTCCGTCCCACAGCCATGGTTCTTCCGTCTTACCATCGGCGGATCTGTCATCTCTTATCCCGTCATGTTAAGGCACAGAAGCCATCTATCAGTCTAGCATCACACCCCCGCATGTACTCTAGACAGGTCGCTTAGAAATTTAAGACTCCTGGCACATAACGGCGGACTAGGTAGGGCGGCACATCTCAATTTCCTCAACCCCAGCCGGTACCCACAACCCGCACTGATTGTAGGCGCTGATGAATACGACGAAGACAAGCCTTGCTGATCGACAAGACAAATTGGGAAGTTGTCATGATTATCGCTCCTTGTTAGCCCCGACTGTTCGAATGATATCCACCTGGCGTCCTGGGATCTGCAAACGCTGCGATGGGCTGCGATGGCAGTCGCCTCTGCCTCCGTCTGCTTGATGTCTCTTGCAAAGCCATTTAACTAGCACGCCATTTTGCCATTCGCTTTGATATCTCATCGTCTATCCAGCGTTCCAGCTGTGCCACTCCTTTATCCAAAATAACACCACGTCATTCTGTGCGTGTCTAGTCGCTCTTTCAATTTTCAGAAGAAAGATTCAGTCGTCAATGGTTAGCGTTGCCGTCTGCTTCGATCGCCCACATTCGCTCATATACTCGCTTACTTCGCTTGTTGCACCCATCCATCAAGCTTAATTCATAATGAAGCTTCTCAACTCCGTCGCTGTTCTAGCGACGAGCGCATCTGCGTAAGTATATTATAGCACGTTACCAGAATTATCAGCCAACTAGTTTTCAGGTTCACCAGCTGGAGGGCACCAGTCGTTCCTCAACAGCCATCCGCCGAGTTGCCCCCCAACGGCTACACTCATCCTTCTTCTGGCCCGAAAGCCAACTCTACCTACGAGTACATTGTCGTAGGAAGCGGTCCTGGAGGAGCGCCGCTTGCTGCTCGCTTGGCTTTGGCCGGCCACAGTGTGCTGCTCATCGATGCGGGTCAGTCGCGAGTCATACTTCTAGGTCATGGGCCCCGCTAACAGACATCAGGCGAGGACCACGGAGCCGATCCTGTCGTTCAGGTCCCGGCTGTACATCCCTTCAGCAGTGACCATGTCCCCATTGCGTGGAATTTCTTCGTCGACCACTATGCGAACGACACCCAGGCGCGTAGGGACACTAAGATGACCTACTTGACGCCAGAGGGTGATTACTATGTCGGACTTGACCCCCCGGCAGGCTCCGTCAAGAAGGGCATTCTGTACCCGCGTACCGGCGCTCTGGGAGGCTGCTCTCAGCATAATGCCTTGGTGACTATCAAGCCCACCAGAAAGGACTGGAGCTACATCGCCTCCATCACCGGCGACGACTCCTGGGCTCCGGATGTGATGGACAAGTACTTCGAAAGGCTCGAGGCTGCCCGTTACCTGCCCAGCAGCGTTGCCGGTCACGGCCTCAACGGATGGCTGCAGACCCGTGTCACTCCGGTGACGCTGATCGCCGAGGATCTCAAGGTCGCCTCTTTGGTCGTTGCCGCTGCCACTTCCATGGGTAAATCACTGGTTGGAAAGCTCTTGAACACTGTGACTGGCCTGCTGGATGTAAGTTTGCTATCAGCACAATAAGCGAACTCTCACTCACATTTCCAGATCCTGACTTTGGACATCAACAACCCTTCGCCCCAGCGAGACAACACCGAGCTCATCTACCAGATTCCTCTTTCCATGGACGAGAACTATTCACGAAGCTCCCCTCGTGGGTTTGTCCTCGATGTTGCCCGCGCCACTAACAAGGACGGGTCGAAGAAGTACAAGCTTGACATCGCTCTGAACACCCTCGTCACCAAGGTCAACTTTGACACCACCGGCTCCAAGCCCAAAGCTACTGGCGTTGACTATCTGGTCGGAAAGAGCTTGTACCGCGCCGACCCCCGCGCAGCCAACGACGACAACGGAATTCCCGGTACCGTTTTTGCCAGCCGTGAGGTCATCGTGTCAGGTGGCGCCTTCAACACGCCGCAGATCTTGAAGCTGAGTGGCGTCGGCCCCGCTGAGGAGCTGAAGTCATTTGGCATTCCCGTCGTCAAGGATCTCCCCGGTGTCGGCGGTAACATGCAAGACCGTTATGAGGTCGGTGTTGTCGGCAAGGCCCCTACAGAGTTCGCCCTTCTCAAGAAATGCAAGTTCCTGAACGGCACCGACCCCTGCTACAACGACTGGAAGAACAACATTGGAGGACCCCTCAAGGGCAGTTACACAACCAACGGTATCGCTTTCGGCTACCTCAAGCACTCTTCCGTGGCTGAGGACGAGCCTGATCTGTTCCTCGGTGGCGTTCCTGCGTACTTCAACGGCTACTTCCCCAGCTACTCCCTTCACGCCACGCAAGATCTGAGCATCTGGACCTGGTTGACTCTCAAGGCCCGCTCTCGCAACAATGCTGGGACCGTGAACCTCACCAGTGCCAACCCCCGCGACACCCCCAAGGTCACCTTCCACAGTCTCGGCGAGGGTATCGGTGGAGACAAGGATCTCCAGGCCGTCTACGAGGGCATGAAGTACGGCATGCAGGCTTTCAAGAACCTCATCCCCCTCGATGGCAGCTTCAAACAGATCTGGCCGCCTGCCGAGATGACTTCGGAGGAGGACCTGAAGCAGTTCATCCGCGATGAGGCGTGGGGCCACCATGCCTCCTGTACCGCTCCTATCGGCGCCGATGACGACCCGATGGCCGTGTTGGACTCCAAGTTCCGTGTCAGAGGCGTTGACGGCCTTCGTGTTGTGGACGCATCCATCTTCCCCAAGATTCCGGGAATGTACATCGTCGCTGCCATCTACCAAGCAAGTGAGAAGGCTGCTGATGTTATCATCGAGGCTGCGAAAACGAGTGCATAAGTAATTTGCCGGGCAAGTCATCAAGTCAAGATAGTAGCATGGGTCTTGCCAACGACAAAGGGCCTGCCTCAGATGTAGTACCATTCAAACCAGGTCTTGTATCATAAAATCCTTCAGAACATAATCTATAGCTCTATCTCACATTCTAATGAGCAAAGTTTTACCCAAACAAGGCTGCCGGACGTTCCTGGAAGTCGGCTGTCGTTGCATCTGCTTCTGGAACAGCCGGACGCAGCACATTCAGATAGCATGCAACGAAGCCAACTACGCGGGTTGGCACTTGAACATGACGCTTGGCGAAACAATAGTATAGACCAGCAACTAATTAACGGCCGTGAATCTCCAGTCCGAGGGTAGCATATTTCCAACGAGAAGCAAGGTGAGTGTTATTTAGCTTTCACTCACAGTTATAAACCAGTAATAAGTCTTCCAGCAATAGCATCGCTGTCATTAAGGTTTACATGACACGTGACCCCCCAGCTGAAATACCTCGCAAGACATATTGCAAGGGGGCTCCTCCGAGCGGCCCATGCCTACCCATGTTTACCCACGCCGTTACATCCGCTTGAAAAAGGCCCCACGAGGAGAGTGCTCCGAGAGGGGTAAGCAAAATAAACAAGAACAGACAAGAGTCGGTGTGTGAGTGACCTTTGTTACAATGCTCCAAACTCTGACACCAGCGCACTCACAATAGCCCAAACATGTCTGAGACCGAGAACATGGCGAGTACTTCTCCGGCAGCTGTGGCGTCAGAGGCCGTAGTTGCTCCAGACTCTACCGTCACTACCGGTGATTCCACCACAGAAAACGTCGATGGCGGCCTTATTACCGCCGATGAGGTAGGGCCTTGTTATAGAGAAATCGTTGTCTATCTTCATGCTAACGGCCAGCAAAGGTCATATTAGACGATGATGTCTCGCTTGCCGAAGTGAGTGATACTCTGTTGCAATCTCTTTTTCCGATATAGATATTGACCCGTCGGCCTGTAGTCAGATGCTGCTTTGTCGAGCACAAGCGTGACGAGCTCGGTCTTCGATTACCGAGTGGAAAACGGACGGACTTATCACAAGTACAAAGACGGCAGTAAGATCCTGCATCCCGCTGTTTCTATTGTGACGTCAGTTTCTCACCGACTGAACTAGAATACTATATCCCCAATGATGATAGAGAGAACGAAAGACTTGGTATGGGTTCCCCCAAGCTTGCCCGATGGGCCCAGGTCGCTGATGCGTGATAGACCTGCAACACAACATGGTGATTCGATCTTGCGGCGGTCGACTGGGAAGTGCTCCACCGAACGCGCCTGGCGCAAAGGTCGGGCGGGTACTCGATCTCGGGACGGGCTCTGGTGTTTGGGCCATCGACTTCGGGGACGAGCATCCCGAGGCTGATGTAAGATACACCAGTTTGATTCGTCTTAAAACCCGCAATGTAGGTTTGGTCCCTCATACTTACCAAATGCTTTTAGGTACTGGGCATCGATTTGTCCCCTAGCCAGCCTGAGTTGTAGGAACCTTCCGCAATAGATGGCCAGACTTGAAGAGAGACTGACAACCCTTTAGCGTGCCCCCTAACGTCCGGTTTGAAATCGACGATGTCGAAGAGTCCTGGACATTCTCGATCCCCTTTGACTATATACATAGCAGAGGAATGACCTCTAGCGTTGGTGACTGGGATAAATATCTCCGGCAAGCCTATGAGTTAGTACCTATTCGTTGCTCTTGTGCATCATAGCTCTCTCACACCTTTACCCTTCAGCCATCTCAGTCCCGGTGGGTACCTCGAGCTCATTGAGATAAACTCCAAACCCCTCTGCGACGACAACACTCTCCCGGAGGACTCACCTCTTGTCAAAAGCGTTCAAATGCTGGAGAAGGCAGCAGCCATCTTTGGCCGTCCCTTTGTGGACGTCCACAGTCTCAAGGATAAGATGATAGAGATCGGTTTCGAAGACGTCCACATGCAGCGCTTCAAATGGCCTACGAACGGGTGGCCTAAAGACAGACACTACAAGGAACTCGGCATCTGGAACTACGAGAACTTTGCAATGAACTGGGAAGCATTCGTGATGGCCCCCTTGACCAGAGCTCTCGGGTGGACAAAGGAAGAGGTGCTCGTACACGTCATGGAAGTTCGTAAGGATCTCGGAAACCGAAACATCCATGCGTACTTTTCTCTGTAAGTGAACAACTCGCCCTTTTTCACGTCGAGCCACCTTTGCTGACGAACGCTAGCTGGTCTATCTGGGGTAGAAAGCCCATGAAAGCTCCTCAGACATCAGCAACCTGAAAACTCCCAAAGGGCCAGGTTTAGAACTGGCAAGAACGGGATCAAATTGGGCAAAGCGATAATATGAAGAAGATAGAGCCAAAATTGGTTTACTTGACTGTCCCAATTAACTTTAAACCAAGAAGGACGCCGTGGTTTTGAATCAGAGGCGAGATTCCCGCTGCCCAAGGGGGTCACTTGGTTGTAGGTGGTGGGCCGTATCAGAGGAGTGATCAGACAGGTCAAACCCCTCCACTATCAGCAATAGCTGGCGATGCCCGATATCACAACACCTCTCCATAAGCCGGTTCTTGACTCGAACCGCCTGGTGTCTCACGATGGTGTAGTCAACCTTGACAGCTTTGTTCTCCAACCTCAAACTTGTGTCGGCTGCTATTTGGGCTCACAGGAAAGGATAGATGATGTCCCATATGCGGTCGCTAAGCTTTGCGTCCTCATCGGTTTACCAGTCCAGGATGGGCTTGCTCTTGCGGCCGCGGATATCCACGGCGCTGATGATGATGATGTAGCATGGGGCGAACACGTCGGCCTTGAACAGGGCAAATATTCATGACGCGAATAGCGTCGTCACCTGGTCCACGGTTTCGGCGGAGTTGCAGTTCGAATGGGTTTGATGACCTTGATCTACGTATGCAAGGGCACCTCCCTTTATTTTGTTTCTGTGACATGCGCTCGACCCGAAGGATACAGACCTTTCCAATGCGATAACTCCTCGAGAAACCTTTTTCTTTTTATCTTCAAAAAGTCATAGCTCCACCTTAGGTAGTTCGTCTCATGATCAGGACCCCTGTATCGGCTCTCCAAAGAGAACTAGGAGTCTGGGGCGCTATCGGAGTCGCTGGCATCACGTCTCTTGACTGCACATTTGGGATCTCTCACTGCTGACTCTTTCGAGTACTGCGTAATCTTCCAGGCTCCTTATCAGTTTAGGATACGAGCATTGCATGTTATGGTCGTAGGAGGCACAAATCGCTTCGCTAGATCCCGTTATTCATCGTCTAAGATACAGATTCCCTTCAGCTTGGCATGCTATTATTACTGCCCCACCTGCAGCTGTGCCGCCTCATAGGGCTGCGCGGCAAACTTAGCAGTTATAATTCCAACACTGTTGGTATCACAGGTGGATATCCTTAAGACTGGCATCCCGACAAACACCATTTGATCAGCAAGATGATGTGCGTGGTATTGCACTAAGCAAAGGACATTCGCATCATTGCTCCCGCAGAAGTGGTATATTGTAACGGTTGTATTGATAGGTTGATGTCTTGATGATCAGTCCGCATCAACGGGGTAACCGGGACTGAACTGCTGGTGTTAATCACACTTACATGCTTTAAGGCTGCGGCGATCTCCAAATACCAACTGTGAGAGCTATATGTGATTCAGGTGAATTCAGTACTGGCTCTTATCTTAACGTGTGCTTGACTGGTAAGACGGAGACACCTGGGGTTTCGGGTTCGGCTAAGGCCGAGAGCAGCATTAATAGGAATATATCAAAATCCCGAAAATGAGGCGTTCCTATCCCTTGTTAAAATTTTCGCTCCAAAACCCTTTGACTACTTTAATTGTAGTTAATCGATCCAGTGGGGCAGTTTCAAGGACAATATCAAACCGTAAGGCTTCAGTGACCCCCCCCCCAAGTATATACACTGATGATAAGTCTTTACACACTTAGTTATATGTAGTATCTTCTGTAATGATTGCTTGATATGTATTTGAAAAAGAACAAGACAACTTCAACCGCAGCACTTTGAATCAACACTCTGCAGCGATCATTCTCTCATTTCGCCACATTCTTTGCTGTCTTGTCGAGTTGTCAACTTCTACTCATACTTTTGTCACTCTTTTGCACTTGTAATACTTATGAAGATGCGGGTCTCCAAGCTTGCTCTATTCGTTTGCTGTATTAGCGGCCTCTCTCTTGTTGCAGCTCTACCTTCGTTACAGGGCGTTACTTTCGCTGGTGTCAGATCTGTCAGCGAGCGACAGGCACCCAAGCCGGATGTATGCGCCTAATAATACAAATATTCCTCTCTTAGAAGATTCCCTGCTAACGGGCCAAGAAGATTGTCCAGCGCCAGCCTGCTGCTGCACACGCCTCAGCCCCCCCTCCCAACGCTGAAGTCCCTCCTTCCCAGAACGCCGCGTTGGTCGACGGTCAAGCAGTCACAAAGCGCTCTGTCTCAAAGAGACAGGACGATCCGCAATCGGGACAGTTTGCTGTTGTCCCAGTAACACAGGACCCAGGCATCAGGCCCCAACCCCTCCTACCGACTTTGGTGGTGGAAGTACATCTCAAGGGCTCATTCGGGCTGTCATTGCTATTATGTTTCTTACAGCCGATGCTATTGACAGAGCCAAGTCTCTCAAGGAAGTGAGAGCCCTCAAACACACTTATTGACGTTGATCTGTTTCTTACAAAAGCATAGGCTCGCGAGGCATTTACTCAACAACAACCAGATTTAATGTGGCAACGCAACCCTGATTACGACAAGTTTCCTGCTGCTGCGTGCTATGGTTTGGGCTACCGTCTAGCAAACCCAGATGGCTTTGCTGGATTGGTACAAGTAAATATTACAGGGCCGGGCGACGTAGAGACGCAAGTGTTCCTTGAGACCGTACACTTGGTTTTTTTTTCTTTTCTTTCTTTTTCAAAGCTAACTATTTGGCGTTTTAGCTATGATTGCATGTACCTCGAGGCCCCCAATCAGTTATTCACTGACAGCGACGGTGGCTCAATCAACGTAGTAGTACACAACTCCCCCAACATTCTCACCATGCAGTTTGACTAAGAAGATATAACTTGGCATTACCTACGACCCGAATCGTTGCTCCTTTGATAAGAAAACGGCTGATCTCACTTGTAACTAAGCGTGCTTCTGCTTTTGCGGATTTCCGGTTGCTTCCTTTGCTGTAGTAGCTGATGAATGAGAACCGGATTTCTTTTTGTGCTGCGGAGCATATTTTGAACCCATCCACCATCGCAGCGCCTTTCCAGCAGCCTGCTGATGTATTACATGATGATCGACGTCGGCCAAGCCCAGCTGCAGCGCGACCAGCCGTACGACGGGCAACCACTTTGCTGCCTCCTGTAGAGAAGACCAGTTCAAATCTGCCCTGCGGTCCGTCAGGCACCGGAGCGTGCTGACCCGGGGTGACCTGGCTTCGTGATTACTCGCAGCTGGGGAGCTGAAATCCCGAAGAAGCAATCCTTTCACTCGAGACCCCAGTCCACGACGCCACCGTCCCTCCCTCCAACATCGCTGGGCAACCATTGAGGCACAATGTTTAATATCGTGTGCATGCTGCAGGAACTGATAGCGCCATCGATACGTGGCACACCAGCGGCATGGTCGAATGGACGCCGCGCTGGTGTTTGCTGGCAAGTTCATCCTCCAGCCACTAGGCGAGTTGAGTTGCTTCACATAATGAAAGAAATATTAGAGCAGAAGCCCAACGTCTCAACCTCGCGCTGTCCGTCGAGTACTTAATATAGGCGGCGGCTCGGCGGCTTCGCAATTGAGATGGAAGAGACTGCTGGGTCAACGCATCGCCTGAGAAGCGCAATGAACTCATCTATTTTCTCTCCTTTCAGCACATCCCACCTGCTTGCTTCGTCGCCAGTATGCTCAAGACACTTCTCGTCCTGGCCCTCTCGGCCACGGCCCTTGCGGCTGACGCTTTCCCCGTCTTCAACAAGCGACTGACAGTCCCGATCCCGTGCAGCGAGTCCGGGCGCAAGGCGTGCGGCGACGGCTGCATCTACTTGACGTACACGTGCTGCCCAGACCAGCAGGGCGGGTGCCCCTTGAGCTCGACGTGTTGGCTCGGCACCAACGGCGCGTACGGGTGTTGCCCGACCGGCCGGCGCTGCAGGGGCCCGGGCGGGGTCGATACGCTGCCCGGGAGCACGTTGACCTCCACCATCTTCTTCACAGAGTCAGTGCCGGCCGACGAGACTTCCACGTCCTTCTTCGTCTCAACGTCCACGCCGGTGTTCGCATTCACTTCCGAGGTAGAGAGCACCTCAACAGAGACTCCATTCCTACCGAAGTCGACCACTTCCACATCCGTTGCGCCAATCACCAATACTCGAACGACGTCGCTCGTAGCACCCACGGCTATTCCGAGAATTACACCCACTGAAGCACCCCCGGTGCCGGCCAACGGCGCAACCAGCCGCAGCGGACCACTCCTCCGAGCCGTAGCAGCCGGTGCCGTGGCTTTGCTCGTGATATGATGTGGGTGGTAGAACAGGATACAGAGTAAGGATTGGGAGGAGTTGACGAGTGGTTGCCGGAGGCTTCTGCTGGAACATCAAAATCAGGAAAGGGAAACCGGAAGGCGATTAAAGGTAGCTCTATGTATCATGTACAGTGTTCTGCGGGTTGTAGGGGCAAGTTGCATAGCCAAAACGTAATGGAAACCGAGTCTGTCAGGTTGTTCCTCGTCTACCCCATTATTGGCGGTCCATCGAGACCCGCATATGAGGTGATTTGGCCCAGATGTGCCTCGTGCTTGCTCTCAGAACCTGGGGCATGGGGGCCGTCTCTAAGTGGCATGCTTCTTCGCGGGGGAGGCGTAGCATACTGATGTGCAAGAAGTGGAGGACACGTGGAAAGTGCCAAGACCAAGACGCCCATCCGACTCAAGTCTAGGCTGGGAGATAGATTGATACCTCCCAAGGTAAGTCTTACGAGATGATAGGGTTGAACGGCCACGAGTCCAAGGAGTCTCTGTATTCGGCATCGGGATCGGGACGGCTCACCGAAGAGACGCTAGTGAGAGGGAGTTGGCGTCGGAGGGGAATTCCGCCGCCCTGGCCCGACGTGTCTCGATGTGGGAGAACGGCAAGTTCGGACCCTCTACCGGTCCGTTGCGCGAAGAACTACGGAGTAAATACCAAACAACAGGGAGTGACGCGTGCCGAGATGAGTTGTATCAGCACCCTCGCTGCCCCCCCGGTCACATCTGATAAGGATCCAAGTTTTGGCTGCTTTGAAGAGATGGATTGGTGGCTTGGAAACTCTACCGCAGGTTTTTGGCCATGGTGGTCGTCGGCCTGTGTCGGCGAACTCTGCATTGAAAAAAGCGGGTGGCTGATGTTCATTTCGTGCCGATCGAGCTCATTCTGATCAAAAGCACGGCTCGGCACAACACATCACACCTGTCGCTCTCACGCGATGCGGACGTTGTAGTGCGGCGACCGCAGCTTTGTTCATCATGGTACGGACAGTGTCGTTTGGAGGATGGACAGGCTTCCCTGGCAAGGATAGCCCATCCAGGGCAAGGGCGAGGGCTACGGGCTGGTAGATGCACGATTTGATGCGTGCTTGTGCCGCTCAAAATTCAAGGGACTCTGGAGAAGAGGATGAAAAATTTACGTGATGGTTTGGATGTTTTGGCTCTGGAGGCGGGTACCAGCGGTGTTCCCCCGTCAATTCGGGCGTATCTGAGATTTAGAGCCCCATATTTCGTAGCCACGTGATACGGGGTTCGGCACTGTCTGTCAGTACGTACCCAAGTCACATGCGATCACCTAAGTGTCCGGGTACCTTCTCTAACGACGGCATATCCACGTTTCCTCTGCGGTCCATCAAACAACTAATAATTCAATGGCGACGTAATATCAATGACATGAAAAAGAAACACCATGTAGGTACGCGCGCCCTTGTTCTTGCTACGGTGCTGATACCTATCTGTCTTATCGTGGCTGCAGCTTCTGTCGGTCAGACATCCCGAGCATGCCCTGCGCTTCTTCACGGCTCAAGCTATTCATCCGTACACCTACTTGTACATCCCAATGTCTGGGCATTCGATTTATCACGCCTGGATCCCCCGAATGTGTGGCCGAGTGTGGATGTTGTGGAGCTCGGCGTTCCACTCATGCTGGTCCGCCAAGTAGATAAGCCTTCTGTCCGAGTCTACCCCATGGGTTCGGTGGCTCGCCACGAAAACGTTACGATACAGAAACATGGACTGCTCGCTTTCCCCAACGGCCTTGGCACTTTTCCCCTCATGGCGAGAGGGGAAAGGGAAGCTTTGGCCAGCCTCTCTGCACCAATCAGCCAGTGCCGGCGCGGTGCGACTGTGTGCCATCAATAGGTCACGTAGGGCGCACTCATGCAACGCGCTCCTCCTGTCTTTGCAGATCCCAGGTCTCCTTCGGAGAGTCCCTGATTACACAGTACACGACTAGAGAAGAGACGGGAGAATAAGAGAGTTTCGAGGTGGGGGGGGGGGGGGACGGAGGCGCGTTCCGTTGGTTTGGAAGCCTTGGAGCCAAGGTACGACTGCAACCTGCCGACTGTGCGACAGATGGGAAGCTTTCGCCAATGCCTTGTCGCCCAGCCTCCATATTACTACCACCATCCTCCGTCCTTTCGATCTGAACTTGCTTGGCCTCTTATTTCTCTCTCTCTCTCTCTCTCTCTCTCTCTCTCTCTCTCTCTCCCTCTCTCCCTCTCCCTCTTCCTCTCCCTCTCCTTGTTCTAGAATCATTCCGTGGTTGCGCCGGCCACACCGACAAGTCTATATTAGCGCGCTGGTAGGGAAGAGAGAGAACGAGAAGGGAAAGAAAACAAAACAAGAACAGAGGTGCCTACCCTGACGGGTACTAATACATAGTCGATCTCGCCCGCACACAACTAGCTTTCTGTCTCTTGCCTCTTCGTCCACTCTTGAAAATCGAGTCGGCGACCCTATCTCGACTTCAAAAGTCGCGGCCATGGACAAAGACGACAGAGGCGGCGGTCCGTTGACCGACGTCGAGTCCAAGCACGCTGGCGAAACCTTCCCCCGCGATGTCAACTTTGCGACCCTCAGCGGCGACGCGAACGACCTAGTCAACCAGCATGACCAGCTGCAGCGAGGTCTCAAGAGCCGACACATTCAATTCCTGGCTCTAGGTGGCGCGTGAGTGACCCTTCTTCTCCTCCGTCGTCCTCGATCGGTTTGACGCTTGGAAGGGGAGAAGAAAAGAAAAGAAAAAAGAAAAAAAGGGAAAGGAACCCCGACTGACACCCCGTCGCAGCATCGGAACCGGCCTCTTCGTCGGCTCGGGCAGCATACTCTCGACCGTCGGCCCCGCGCCGCTCTTCATGGGCTACCTGTCCATGATGATGGTCGTCTGGAACATCATGAATAACCTCGGCGAGATGGCTACCTACCTCCCGCTCAAGGGCATATCGATCCCCTACTTTGTCGAGCGCTTCGTCGAGCCCAGCCTGGCCTTCGCCGCCGGCTGGAACTACTGGTACGCCTACGCCATGCTTGTCGGCGCCGAGGCCTCGGCCGGCGCCATCCTCCTCGACTACTGGAAGAGCCCCGTCCCCCCGGCCGTCTGGATCACCATCATCCTGCTCGTCACCCTCGCCCTCAACATCTTCGCCGTCGAGGTCTTTGGCGAGGCCGAGTTCTGGTTCGCCAGCATCAAGCTCATCACCATCCTGGGCCTCATCCTCGTGAGCTTCGTCATCATTCTCGGCGGCGCTCCCGACGAGGGCCGCATCGGCTTCCTCTATTGGTACGATCCCGGCGCCATCAAGCCCTACCTCGTCGGCGGCGACACCGGCAGGTTCCTGGCCTACTGGACCGGCTTCGTCCGCGCCGGCTTCGCCTTCATCACCTCCCCCGAGCTCATCGCCCTCGCCGCCGGCGAGACCGTCGCCCCCCGCCGCAACATCCCCAAGGCCGCCAGCCGCTTCGTCTGGCGCCTCGCCATCTTTTACGGCCTCGGTTCCCTCATGATCGGCGCAATCACCCCATCCGACGACTCGAGGCTCCTCACCCCCACCTCCAACGCCGCCTCCTCGCCCTGGGTCATCGGCATTCAGCGCGCCGGCATCGGCGGCCTCAACCACGTCATCAACGCCGCCATCCTCACCAGCGCCTGGTCGGCCGGCAACGCCTTCCTCTACTCGGGCAGCCGTATCCTCTACAGCCTGGCCCTCAACAAGCAAGCCCCCCACTTCTTCACCCGCACCACGAAGCGCGGCGTCCCCTACACCGCCGTCCTCGGCACCTGGTCCATCGCCTTGCTCTCTTACCTCACCATCAGCAGCGGCACCTCGACCGTCTTCACTTGGTTCATGAACATCAGCACCATCTCCGGCTTCATCGCCTGGATCGTCGTCATGATCACCTACCTCCGCTTCCGCAAGGCCATGATCTACCACAACATGATGCACCGCCTGCCCTTCCGCACGGCCCTGCAGCCCTACTTCACCTGGTTCATCCTCGGCCTCCTCGTCATCCTCACCCTCACCAACGGCTTCCAGGTCTTCTTCCCCGGCCACTGGAGCGTCTCGGACTTCCTGGCCGCCTACATCACCCTGCCCATCTTCCTCGTGCTCTACGTCGGGCACAAAGTATGGTTCCGCACGCCCTTGGCGCGCAGCATCGCCGACGTGGACGTCACTACCGGCGTTGCCGAGATGGAGGCCATGGCGGAGCTCGACGAGGAGCCGATCCCGAAGAACATGCTGCAGAAGGTGTGGTTCTGGATTGCGTAGGTTTGCCGTCCAAGAGACACGAGATGAAGACGCAGTTGGGAGGTTTTATAATTCAAAGATCTAAGACTTGGAAATAGACAAAAACATTTCGCATATACGCATTGCCTTGTTGTGATCGTGATAACACTAGGATGGCCGACTCGCCTCACCCTCACGCAGCCCCGGGACCGGTTGCCCAGCGATTGTTCATCGTGCCTGTCGGGGTCGCTCTCGTCAGCGATGCGGCCACCCAGAATGCAAGCTTCGCGGTACTCGACTGCTCTCCTGGTGGTGGTCTCGACGACCTGGCCCTGCTCGTTAACGTGGTAAGTCTTGCCCTCGTGGCTGGGTAGCGCCTCGACGGCCTTGACGACGGGGGGCTTGAGCAGGTTCTTGAGTCTGCCGAAGCGGGACTCTGGGTCCGTCGGCGCCTTGGCCCGGGGCATCTCCTAGACGACGCGCGTGGTGACGTAGTGGAAGTCGTCCGTCGGGGCCGGTTGGCGATCGGTGCCGCGGAGGGGCTGAGAGGAGCCGCCGTCGTCGGCGTTGCGAATGAGCGGGTGGAGCGAGTTGGCGTCGGAGCCGACGATGGTGTCTTGGCTAAAGACGGAGGGACTGTAATCCTTGTTAGCCCCCTGGGGCTCTCGGCTGGCGCTCATGGTGTTCTCGTCGACTTCCTTTGTATTTCTTAGCGAGGCGTCTACAGACAATTCAGGAGTCGTGAGATGTTGGAGAGACAGCTACCCGGCATCAGATCAGATGCATTGCTCGAGAAAGAGGGAAGAGCCTGTACGATATACCCAAGCTGCCAAGGCGCGGCTTCCCAGGGCTCGCATCACGAGGCATTCTCTGGCAGCCTTTGATTGACGGCTGTAAGCTCATATGACACCAGCAGCTACCTAATGGTGATATATAGGCCCAGTACAGCACGCTTGGTTGGGAGCAGTATATAAAGCTCCGTCGCCCATGGACCCTGTTCAGTGGCGCGCGCCCCCCGCGTCGTGTTCCAGCAGGGTGATGCCCCCTCCCTTTGTGGCCGGGCGTTTGGCGGTTGGAGAATGCGGCACAGCAACCGGAGAGCGATGGTCAGGCGGCATACAGCAGGCGGGTATTTGGCGTAAGCCGGTGCCAAGTCTCTGGAAGAAGTTACGACGTCTTGCTGCCCTATTCAAGCATTGAACGCGTGAGTGATGTTCCTTGAGGGAGAGACCGTGGAAGTTGTTTTTGTGCCGCGCATGATTCTCTCAGTCGCGAAGGACACCACTACAATTCAGCTCTAATCTACACTGTTCCCTACCTACCTACCTAGGTACATGATGTTTTGTTCTAAGTACCGTGCCCGTTGTTCAGAACTGGTTGTTCTTGTCGCTTGTTCTCCAGAGCGAGGGAAATACAGCTGCTTTTGCCAACAACGGCTCGTTAGTAATATTCGACCCGGCACCACAACGGTAAGAGTGAACACCAGCACGAGAGCGCACCCAACGAGAAACAAATAGCATATCGCAGACCATCTTCCGTATTTCACAATCAAATGCCGCAATGGGAAAGCTTATCGGCATCAGCCCCTGCGGCATGTGGCTGGTGACCGTGGGCTGTGGGCAGCTCTATATACACATCTAGGTAGTATGTGAGTAATCAGACAAGCTGATAGTGTCCCACCCCCCCCCTGTCCACCCAAGAGTACCGTGCACAATAACTGTAATGAACCTCAGCAGGTAGTGGATTTAGTAATAACACAACTATCTTAATAATAATAAAATAGAGGCAAAAGGGATAGTCTTAGCCTATTCTGACCTAAAGCGTAGCGTAGGAAGCAGGGTAGGTTAGTACTATTCTAACCTCCCCTGGTGGAGCCGTTTTGGAACTAAAAAATCTAAGAAAATTAGATTTGAACCTGCAGCCTTTAGGATATGAGGTTTATCGCTGTTATTGTGCACAGTACTCTTGGGTTGACAGGGGGGGGGGACACTATTAGCTTGTCTGTAGACTCGTAGTATGTATTACCCCGCTATCGGCAGCCCCTCACGCGGTATCAGTCCAGCTGTATGCATCATTTTACAACGTCTCGTTTGATTACCAAGACGTGAACGCCAACCTTGTAAGCAAGGCGACGGTTGATCCGAATGCCTCAACACAGACGCGAAGCTGCTGGACTGTTGATAATAGAAGATCAGTTACTGCCTCTAGGCAATCGCAATCGATTAGGCCAGAAGCGCCCACAGGACTCGTGTTTCATCAAGATAAAAGAGCAAAACTCACCAAGGCAAAACAACACCAACAAAGACGCCTTGGGTTGGTACGCAACCAATCACCTACCTACTTGGCAAACATCCAGTCACATTTGGTTCTATTTGCGCCAAGCCATCATTGGCAAGTGAGACTCAAGGTCCTTCAGCCTTGACCGGTATTGTTTTGTTTCGGGCCTCCGGAGGTCTTCAGTCCCATGTTGCCGGCCCAGGTCCGTGGATTCACAACCACCGCTCCCTGGCTCTTCCTCGTTGCCTGACTGGTTGACACAAATTGTGCCCGCTGGATCTCATTGCAACTAAGCCGGGTGCTTTACTGCCTGGCTGCTTTCTTTTTCCTCAGCTTATCTACTTAAACCTCTTCTTCCTACTTTCTTTTCCTCTTTTTTAGTCTTTCTTCCTATCACCCTTTCAATCACACTTTCTCCTTTTACCCTTTCTTTTGGTTTTCTTATTCACACCTCTGTCCATCACTGTAAGTGTTGTTGCCTGCGCCGTATTCATTGTTAGTGCTAACAGGACGACAAGGACGACGACGAGGACGACAACAACAACAACAACAACAACAATAACAACAGCAGAGACAGAAACAGCAGAAACAGAAACAGCAGAAACAGCAGAAACAGAAACAGCAGAAACAGACATGGCCTCAAACAACGAAGTCCCCCGCCTGCCCCACGGCCGCTCGCCGGCCGACTATTTCAACTCCGTCAAGGCCAAGGTGCTCATGCACCTTGGCCGGCTCTCCTCCTCGGCGGTTGAAGAGACCGACCCCCGTGTGGTCGAGAAGGTCCAAGAGGTCATGGTCTTCCTGAAGTACGTTGAGAACTGCCGCGCCGCCTACCCGACCTCCGCCCCCCGCGAGCTCTTCAACGCCAGATACCCCCTCAAGATGTGTCTGGCCATGATCTTCAACCCCTCCCCCACCGCCAAGAAGCAGTACTTCGAGGGGAGGATCAAGTCTCGCGCGAAGTCGCTACACCAGTGGGCTGACCGGGTCGAGGACGCCACGCGCCTCGCCAACCAGCAGGCCGCTCTTCAAGAGGCCCAGGCCAAGGCCGAGGCTCAGGCTCAGGCCAATCCCACAAAGCCGAACGGCATCCTCAGACCCCCCCGCAATCATCCCATCTGGGGAATCGGCGGTGTCATGCGCGGCCTCGCTGTCCGGCCCAGCGAGCGACTCATCGTCGTACTCAACCCGGATTGCGCCAACGAAAAGCGCCCCGCCAACGTCCACGGCCATAACGGCCTCCAAGTCGGCGATTGGTTCCCTTCGCAGTTGTCCGCGCTCTTCCACGGCGCACACGGCCACTCCAACGCCGGCATCTACTTCCAGGCTGAGGAGGGCGCCTTCTCTGTCATCGTGGCCGGCGCGTACAAGGACCTCGACGTCGATTCCGGCGATACCATCCTCTACTCCGGATCCAACGCCCACGAGAGCAACGACAGGGATAGCATCCTCCCCAGCACGGAGGCGACCAAGGCGCTGGCCACCAACTGGCTCACCGGCAAGCCCGTCCGCGTCCTCCGCAAGGCGCACAAGGGCTCCGAGTGGGCTCCTTCGCACGGATACCGGTACGACGGCCTCTACGAGGTCGTCGAGAGAAATTTCGCGCACAACGACAAGAACGGCATGTTCGAGCAGTTCGAGCTCCGGCGCCTCGGCGGACAGCCTCCCCTCGGTAGCTTGAGGAACATCCCCAGCCAGCGCCAAGTCCGCGACCTCATCAAGTCCAAGGACCGCTACTAAAGTCGAAGCCGAACGAGGCCAGCCCGCCCGCCCGTACACTCGCAGGGAGGAACATGCAGCATTTTCCCAGACGGACCGAGTTCGACCCATGGACGAGTAGAGGGTTCGAGGCATTCAGAGAGAGATACGACGATTGAAGAATTCTTGGGTTCGGTAACGCATTCAAGAAAACACGAAATGAACGGCGTGCTTAGCGGAGGAATTATCTTTACGTCGATGATTGAGACTATTAAAAGGCTGGATACCCCCAACGAAGATATGATTTGACGTCATGATGGCAGAGGATTGAGTGGGAAATCAGACTTCTTTGCTCAAGGAAACGGGATGGTTACTCGCAGATTCTAACCAAGAAGGAAGGCTTAACAGGCCTTGGGACATATCGCTACCAATGAATTGTCTACAAGAAGCTAGTGATACGTTTGGAGGTGTTATTACAGAAAACCGAGGCATTTGGCCTCATCGGAATGGGAATCAAACTACTTGCTATTGAGATGAGACAACCTCCCCATGTCCAATATTTCCCCCTCCTTGAGAAAGTGACATCTATTCGTTGATGTTCATGACTTGCTCGTAGAAAAGCCCCGTGATTTTTAGTTGTAGTTTATGCTCTGGTTGGATCTTTTCGCTGTCAAGCTCATCGCTGCACATGACGGTGCAGACAACACCCACGACAAGCTACCGAGCAATGCCATCACAGCGAACCGCCTCTGTTGTGGAACCATAGCCTCGCCTCGTCAATGCCCATGGCCCCTACAATCAGGATCCTCCCAAACGCGTCCACATCATCGGCGCCGGCATCCTTCAGAACGTCGCTGAAACACTCCCTGGTAACGACGAAGTGCCGCTTCTCCCCCCAGGCCACGGCGAAGGCGACAACGTCGGGGGCCTCCCACAGGTGCGCGGACAGAGTCCACGACAGGCCGGTGAAGTGGCCCCCCTGGCAGTCGCTGGATATCTTGCCGACGAGGACGTTGTAGGCGGCGAGGAGGAAGCCGGTGAAGAACACGGTCCGCCGGGCCGATTCCTGAAAGATCCATTCCTGCCAGGTCTCTTTCGTCGGACAGGCGGAGCGGTCCTCCGCCGGGCCGGTCTCCGGCCGTGCGCGCTCCCATTTCACAAAGGGCATGAGGGCCAGCATGGCGCCGTCGAGGGCGGGAAGAGTCTGCTGCGCGGAGGCGCGGAGGGAGACGTCGCCGTCAAAGAGGCGGATGATCTGGTAGAGCAGCGCGGCCTGGAGGCGTGCGAGGATGCTGAGGCGGTCCCTGGGTGTGGGAGAGGAGAGAAGCTCATGAGCCCTGGCTTGAATAGTTCGCAGGACGAAGCGAGAGTTGCTTGAGTTCTTGGCGATGTACAGTGCACAGCAAGCTTGAGCATCTGTGTCGCGATGGTAAGCAGAAGTTCATTGGTCAGCGAAGGGTTCTTTGAGGGGAACTTCACCTTGCATCTCTCTCGGCATGTGAGCCCGGTACAAGTATGGGTGGCTCCAGGGGGCTTGGTTCTCCAGGACGGTGGATGCGGGAACCTTGTTCATCTCATCGAGGGCGTATTGAAGGCGGCTGGATATCATCTCCTCCAACGAGCCATCTGCCGCGAGATCCTGGCTTGGTAACAGCATCTGTTCGGGGCTCGAGGTGAGAGGCGAGAGAGACGACGTTCCGTCAAAAAGAACGTCAGGGGCCAAGAAGTCGTGGAAGTCCGTGTACAGACCAATGCCGTCAAGGCCATCCATATCCAGCTGGAGAAGGTCCGCGTCTTGCTGCCATGGTACGAGAGAATTGTCGGGACATGTTGCGGGTGTCCCGGTCGACCTCTCCGGGTCTTCTTGCGGCGCAGGTGTTTCGATGAGCTTGGGGGCAGTCTGCCTCTTGGATCTGGACGTTGGCGGGGTGGGATAAACGCAGTCGATCTTCCGCCGCGAGCACCGCAGGCACGCCGCTTGACCGTGGTCGCACCGGCGCTTGGCTTTGGTGCAGGCAAGACACGTCTTCCGACGAGGCGGGGGGTTCGCCCGTTCCAGGAAGGAGTTGGACATGGCGCACGCAATGCGAGTGCTCTCGTCTCGCAGACACGCGCTCCCGGATCTGCTTACCCGTACAGAGGCTCAAAGCTATGCGCCTTTTCCCCTCCTTCCCTTTTTTTGCGGAAATATCGACGAGAAGCAGGGCAGACCAGGGGAGATACAAAGCTGGAAATGGGCGCCAACGAATGTTGTCACAACAAACCATTGGCGGCGGCTCTTGGGCTTACTTAATCCGCAGATGGCGGGATTCCGCCAATATTTTCCCACCACCAACATGTCATGATCTATCGGCACGCTGGAACGAGCATTGATTGCAATTCAATCAGTCCAAGTCTATACTCTAAGTAGGGTGAGTTGTTTATACCCACAAGATGACCTGGTTCATACTGTGTATGTAACCCTGGCCAAAGGCTGGAGAGAACGGCACCGGCGATTATGTTGCTTTTCAATTGTCTGTATTTATTTGATTTTTCTAGTCTTTAGTGCCAAGATAACGGATGGCATGGCATTCAAGGAAAGGCGCGTCGCGTTGTAGGCAGGTATGGGTGCGGGGTTTGGCTGTGAACAGGCTATGCCAACCTTCCTCATTCCTTGTGGATTAACAAAACCCGGCAGTCTGACAGGGTACACATATTACAAAGCTTAACTGAACTACCAAGAGCAAGGGTATCACGTAACGCTATGATTCTACTGCGGTCTACGGATAGACCGCAGCCTTAAGCTGGGTTCTTTTTGAGCTCCTTGGCTTTGGCCGCCTTGCGCCACTTCACACCCCAGTACATGACGGCGAATAAGGCCGGGCTGAAAACGAAGTACAAGAGACCCAGGAGTGTGAAGGCCCAACCCACACCCATGCTATTGATCATGGGAATAATTGCTGCAGTCGCAGCCGCGCCCAGCAAACACCTGGTAAAGTTGTTCGCCGCCGTCGCAGTTCCGGCCTTGCCCGGGTGGATATCGATGATGAGGGTGTTGGTGGTGTTGTTGAAGCCGATCATGCCTACTCCGAAGAGGAAGAGCAGCACGCAAGGGACAGCCACAGGGGCCCGGAGATGGAGAGCCCAGCCCCAAACCAGCAGGAGTATTGAGCTCAGAAACAGCAGCGGCAGACCAATCTCCAGGCGGACCTTCTCAATGGGGAAGTCGGTCAGGTCTTGTTGGCGAGACTTGTCCAAAGGGATGCCCAGCCTCTTGCAGTGCCGACGATAGTTCCAGTTGATCAGCGGCCCGACAACGAAAGCAGCAACGACAGACCCACCGGCCAAGGGCAGATACATGAGGCCGATTTTCAGAGTGTCGAAGCCGTATATCGCCTCGAACTGGGTTGGCATGGAGGTGGCAATGGCGTAGAACCCGGCAAAGACGATGGCGCTGAAGCCAAGAAGGAGGCCAAGCTCCCGCTCGAAGAGCAGGAGAAGCGACCCGAATGGGTTCAGCTTGAATTTCAGAGCAGGCTTGGAAGTGCTTGAAGCCCCCGTCGTGGACCTCGACATCGGGGCTCCGGCCCCCCTCCTGGCCCTGAAGTGGTCTTTGAGCAGCTGGTAACCGGTGCGATACAGCCGGGGCGGCCGAACGGATCCGTCGCCGACGATCAATCGGCACGTTTCTGGGAAGAACAGCAGCTGGAGGACAAAGTAGACGCCGGCTAGGATGGCGAGGAACCAGAAGATGGACCTCCAGCCGAGATATTGGGTAAAGACGCCACCAAGAACTGGGCCCAAGGCAGGGGCCAACACGATAGGGACTACGGTGAGTCCAACGTACTGCCCTCTCTCGGCAGAAGTGATGGTATCTGCCACAACTGCCGAGGCCAGGGCGACGGTGCTGCTAGAGCCCGCCGACTGTAGACAGCGGACGACGAGAAGAGAGGCGTAGTTCTGAGAGAGGGCCAGACCGATGTTTGCTGCAATGTAAACAACAAAGCAGATGACGTATGCGGGTCGACGACCGCTGTGGTCGGCCAAGGAGCCGATGAACATGGGGATAACGCCCTGGAAAATCATATAAGTCGTCACGCTAAGGTTAATGTCCGAGTCGGAGACATGGAACTCGTTGGCCAGGACCGTCAACGCCGGGAGGTAGATCTGGGCGGTGAAGGGCGAGAAGAAGGCGGCCAGGCAGGCTCCTAGAATAATGGCTCGCTTCTCCCATTTCGTGTAGATAGAGTACGGTGGCGGTTGCTTTGGTTGCGGTTGCGGCACCGCAACTTCTTCATCTATCGTCTGTGACTTTTCCAATGGCGCAGGACTCGTAGGGTGAGACATTGTGGGCAAGTGTATGACGCTTCAACCTGGTGAAGTGCGCTGGCGTTGTGTGTTGGATTGTGAGCAACAACAGAACACCAGGATGAGAAGGGTGTCGAGATATATAGACATCTCGGTAAGGACTGGCTGGAAGTGAGTAGAAGAATCAGAATCTCAGAAGCAGCCTGTTTCTAGCTAGGTACGTCGTAGGGTGCTGCGGGCGAAGGAAAATGGATCATTGCCGTTAGTCGGAGACGCTGCATCGTACTACTATGGGGTGGGTGTATGTCGGTGCCGTTTCGGCCTTTTCTCCAAACCACCATCATGGTGAGAAGCGCCCTTGTGGGCCTTCTGGAGACTGTTGTTTTGAATGACCGTATGTATTATTTCGACAGTCCCCAAAATGATAGAGCCGGACTTAGGAAAGCGGCTCGGAAGTAATCGAAATAATGGGCTGGGGCGAGAAAAGTCCGAGCGTAATATCAGCATTGCCGTGGCCCCCAGTAAGCATCATGGGGGCCAGCTGAGGTTCACGAAACTAACGGTCTACGGCCCGTAGTCGACGGTGTGTATGTCGACTAGCTTGGGGGTTTTTGGGGGTGTGCATTTTTGGGGGTCGTCGGAATGGCGGAAGCCGCCGTCATGACAGCACCAGTGGGTGTGTTTGGAACGTGGGCATTTCGAGGGAGAAAACAAGCAAAAAAGGTGAGGTTGAGGTTGATGAGAAGGGAAGTCATAGTCGAGTGTACGAAGTAAAGGCACCCTTGTACCAGGAATTACCCACTGTACAACCCAAGTTCCGTCTTGGCTTCAGGACAGTCAACAGGAACTACCACACTGTAATGAACACGGTGCGGCGGATCGAGAAGGCGGTGACGTGTGTTCTTGGAGAAGCCACCTGTAGTGTATCCATTTAGAGTGGCTAAGAAGGTACGTACTTGGGTAGTACATAGTATCTAGAGCTCCAGTAATTACAGCATGTCCTGAGCTTCAAGCCCAAAGACCGTGGGACCCTGCATTCGCCCGAATTGTGCATTTTAACATCCTCGATACCTCACCCACCTCTTCTACACCACGCCGTTCTCAACAACCCCGGTTCATCTTGCTGTGCCTTCGACCCCCATACCGATGCCGGTCCTCTGCTCTCAATCCGAAAGAAATCCCCAAGCATGGTTGGCCACCCACACTGCTCGAGCGTTGCGCCCCTCCTAACAAAACGTCGCAGAACGTCCAGTACAACTCGGCCCTGCGCCAGAGCAAGGCCATCCGCAACGACCTCGAGAAGCTGTCCTCCTCCGCCGCCCAGCCCGCCGCCCTGACCCCCGCCGAGATCGGCAACGTGTCCGCGTCCCTCGCCTCCTTCTCCAAGACCATCGACGAATACAACAACCTGGCCCGCCAGGAGCTCGTCAAGAAGAAGCAGGAAGAGGCCTACGACCGCGTCAAGCGCTTCCGCGACGACCTGTCCGACTTCAGGTCCCAGGTCGAATCCCTTAAGAAGGCCCGCGAGGATGCCGTACACAGCACCAACCGCAGCGAGCTGCTGGGCCGCCGTGCCTACGCTACTTCCACCCCCGAGAACCCCTACGCCAACGTCGGCAAGCCGTCTTCCTCGGCTTTCCACAGCCGCGGCGCCCCCACCGGTGGCCATGCCGGCTCCGGGCTAAGCATGGGCGGCAACGATGTCACGAGAGAGCAGCACGCGCTGCGCGAGCAGAACTTCTTCGCCAACACCAACTCGGCCCTCGACGAGTACATCGCGAGGGGCCAGGCCGTGCTGGGCGACTTGGGCACCCAGCGCGAGATGCTCAAGAACACCCAAAAGAGGCTGTACTCGGTCGGCAACACCCTGGGCATCTCGGGCGACACCATCCGCATGATTGAACGCCGCGCCAAGGAGGACAAGTGGATCTTTTGGGCATGCGTCATCGTCTTCTTTCTCTTCTGCTGGGCCTGCATACACTTCTTACGGTGATGGGCGGGCGGGGAAGAGCGGGGAAAAGGGGCCATCGAATGAATTTTGGCTGGGTTGGGTACGGGATGATAACGAAGTTGGGAAAGAAAGAAAATGTTCAGGAGCATGGCGTTTTTGTGTTTCTTTTTTTTTTTTTTCAAGGAGGCGGGCGGCTGCAGTCTGTATGTATGCGCCGTGCAATTTCCTCGAGCATCGCGTCGCATCGCATCGCATCAGGAAGGGAAAAAGTAGTCCCGTGTACAACAAGCGACAATCGAGTTTGGTTCTATTCCATGCCCGCGAGGGCAATGGTGAAAAGCACCGTGCTCGTCGTCTCGATCTCAACCACTTCCGTCTCGGGCAGCACGTGGTTGCTGGTGCTGACGTGGCCCCCAAACTTGGTCTCCCAGTTCTCGACGTCCCATTCGAGACCCTTGGTGGTGATATAGCTGGTACCCCCGATGGGAAGGATGCCGACGTGCTTGCCAAACACGTCGTCGCCGCCCTCGCGGACCCGGATGCTGTGGCGGCCGGGCTTGAGGAGGAACGTCAGGCTTTGGCCCGACACGAGGTACAGCTTGCCTTGGGCGTAGTCGGGCCCCGGCTGGAAGAGGTACAGATGGTGCACCTGGCTGAGGCCCTGGTCGACGCGGCCGCCCAGCCCACCGAGGGCGACGATGTCAGTGTTTGGCCCGTGGTTGGAGCGGATCCACGAGACGGCCTTGCCAAAGTCTGTCGAGTACTGGTCGGAGTCGTATACCACCTCGGCCGGCTTCTCCAGCTCCGTGTAGTAGTCCCTGACGGACTGACGGAGGGAGTCCAAGTCACCGATGATAACATCGAGGTTGGTCTGCGGCGGTCAGATACAATACGATATTCAGACTAGAGGGGCGGCAAAGGACCAACTAATGGTGGGTGAGAGCGGGCTTCGGCCATGTTGCTCATATCGTACAATCTGTTGGCTCCGCCGTCCGCAGCGACTCGCGTGAGAGCTGCGACGAAGAGGAGGGGGGTCAGCTGGAGATCCAAATATATGCGCAGGTTGCCCATACCGTTGGTCCATAGCGAGTCAAAGACGGAAGTCTGCTTCACGGGCTGGTTGAGCACAATGAGTGCGAAATCGGCGGGGCCGGGATATTCTGGCGTCTTGTCGCGAAGAAGCGCTACCGGGCGCCACTCAAAGCTTGGCGCCGACATCTCGAGACTTATCGGCGCGCAAATACATGCAAGATACCAGGGAAACAAAATGTCCAATGCAAATCAGCTAGATACAGGCCACCTTTTTTTTGTCTTCTTCTTTTTCTGTCTAGGAATACGCTTAACCAGGTCCAAGGGAACAGATGCGCCAAGGGTAGCTCGGGGTATGGGTCAAAATCTCACATACGAAATCAGCAGGAATATATCGTTTATCACCGACATCCGTAGTACATGTGATGCATAAGATGCGTCGTTGTCATCAGACCAAAACTGGAATATCTCGCAGAAGTGGTACAACATGATTTGCGACCAATGACGCGCTGATTTTGGCGACTCTGCCCCCCCAGTGGGCTCTTTTTTTTTTTTTTTTTTTTTTTTTTCCCCTTCCGCATCGACCGACCGATAGGCCGGACCTGCGTCAGCGAGGAATGGCGGGAATGCGCCGCTAAAACCTCGGCGCAACCTTTCATTCGAAGCGAAGCTTCAATTTTCTTCTGGATTCGGATTACCAACCCCAAGCTCCGTTTACCCCCGCCCACGCCCTGAACGCGCCAGAACTTTCTGCCATCTCCGTGATTTTCCCCTTTGTCTTTGTGCTCTCCTTTTGGTCTTTTCTTTCTCTTTTGGTTTCGGCTTTTTCTCTGTCATATACACACGCACACCACCCCCCGACATGTATCGCAGCGCCGTCCGGTCGACGCCCCGCGCCCTGAGTGCCGCCCGCCAGTCGGCAATCCGCACTGCCCCTCGACGATTCGCCTCGACGTCACCCGCCGACAAGCCCCGGTCATGGAAGGGCTCGGCATTGAGATGGGGTCTTGCCGCCGGCGCCGTTTACTGGTATAACACCAGTCCGGTCTTCGCAGAGGAGCCTCTCCGTATGTTTCCTGCAAAGGGGGGGGATAAGAGCAACAAGCAGCGTTGTGAACTGCTGACCATGAGGGTGCATTGCTAACAAAGCTTCGCAACAGCTCGAACGATCCCGGCCCCGTCCCAATTCTCGGACTCTGACCTTACCACTGTCGATGCCATTGTCGAAGAGAAGCGCAAGCGAGCCATTGCGAAGGCCGAGGAAGCTAAGCCCGCGCCTGCCGCCGCCCCCGCACCGACGAAATCGAGCGAGAAGACGCAGGAGGCGCTCGAGGGCGAGCCGGCGCCCGGCTCCCCCGAGGCTTTGGAGGCTGAGGCCGACCAGCAAGGTGCATTCAACCCGGAGACGGGCGAGATCAATTGGGATTGCCCGTGCCTCGGCGGCATGGCGGATGGCCCCTGCGGTGAGGAGTTCAAGGCTGCCTTCAGCTGCTTCGTCTACTCCAAGGAGGAGCCCAAGGGCATGGACTGCATCGAGAAGTTCCAGTATGTTGACGGACGAACTAATATCCAAGCTACGGACATGGGTGCTAATTGTGATGAAGGGGAATGCAATCGTGCTTCCGGAAATACCCCGAGGTCTACGGCGCCGAGCTGGCCGACGATGACGAGTACCAAGAGGGTGCCGAGGATGCCCGGCCTGCGCCCGATGCCAACACCGACGCAACTATTGCGCCGCCTGCCGCTTCCGCCAACGAGAAGAAGGAGACCAAGGCCGAGATCAAGGGCGATTCGGAGGAGAAGAAGCCTGCAGCCAAGTCGGACGCCGAGAAGCAGGACGAGGAGGTCAAGCAGATGCCCAAGCCAGAGCCCGTCGACCTCAGCCAGCCCAACACCCCGGCGACGGACGCTACCGCCGCCAACAACATCTAGAGAGCGAAGCAGCGTCGCTTCTATTTTGTTCTTGTTTTCTGTCTTGATAGAGTTTACTTGTGTGTAGAAGTACACGGGAAAGGGATGTGGCGCACCGCAAAAAAAGGGCGGCTAATGACACCATGACGGGGAAATTTCGGGCCATATCTCATGTACCATAATCGTGTACAAAGTGTACCAGTACGAAGAAAGCAAAACAATAGACATCCACTTCTCCAAGCATTGCTGTGACTTGTTTTTGTTTTAATTGTTTATTGTTTCGTCCTTTTCTTTTTGATCTTAGTCCATCAACTTTTTCATTGTTTTGACCACATCACAAATGATTTAGGTATTGCCCGGCAACATGAGAATGACTCTCCGCAAGACCCATGAACATAAAAACAAAAATAAGATATCGTCAGCGACAGCTCATCCAGGACCCATCGCCCCCATCCCACGGGATCTGGCGCGTACCATCGTTCCTGGCAACTGTCCGGGTCCTCCCCCGGTGCTAGCGACCAGACGCCCCCACATCTGGATGGATTTTCCCGCCTCTCATTGGCTTGCTGGTCGACGTGCTCCAAGCTCCCGAGCCGCATACGTCATACGTCATTGGTCTCTTGGTCCAGTAGCGCCAACCAAGATCAAGGAAAGCTCGAGGGGGGGAATGGTCAAACCGCCTGACGACGTTTCTGCTTGGTGCTAGTTAGGTAGTGTGTGTACCTTTGGTAGTTTCCCCCCCTTGCCTTTCCCTTTTTTTCCTTCCCTTCCGGTTCCTTCCTTCACATGACAACATCCTCTTAAAAGGAACCACCCGCCATTTCATTCTATTCCGCGTCATTTGTCGATCTGCCACACCTTTCCCCCCCTTCCCACCTGCACATTCACACCTTATACACACATACACACCTCCTTGAAGCTCTTGCTTATTGCACTTGCCTTCTCTCCCACTCTCGCCTTGGACACTTGCAAACCCAAGCCTAAAACCTCCCTTTCATCTATATATCACAAGTAAGTGTCAACGCGTTACGTCATCATTGGTGTGCGTATGTGCGCGCGCCGTTACTGATAACATTACAGTGGCTTCCTACGCCGACATGGCCGCCAAGGGCCCCAAGCAAACTCCCGAGGAGGTACGTTCACTGGTCGCGTGATGCCACGGCACTCCAAAGACTACTTCTATCCATACATCGCAACACCCAAACCCCAAAGGGGAAGCAATGCTGACCTCGTCACCCCTTGTCCTCAGGCCGCTGCTCCCCAGCCACCTGAAATCGCCGTCGAGTCCGTCGAGTCCCTCTCCACCTCGTCCCTCGTCGACGTCGACATGCCCAGCGTGCACACGGTTCCCCACGACTTCAACGACCAGGATGTCAAGACCACCACCCAGGCCTCTCGCATCGAGCGCGAGGAAGAGGAGCAGAAAGCCCGCGCCGAGGCCGACCTGGCCAAGAAGAAGGCCGCTAGCAAGGCTCACAAGGCCGACTCGTGGCTGAAGCGCCAGTTCTCCTCTCTCAGCGACGGCAGCGCCTCTGCCCTCGCCATCTCCAACCTCGTCGGCGTCGTCGGCCTCAGCACCTTCCTCGGCTACAAAGCCTGGGGTCTGTACGACCGCGGTCGCCTGTCGTGGCAGAACGTCGGCTTGGGAGTCGGCATCCTGGGTGTCGTCGGTCTCGCCGAGGGCATCTTTGGAAGGTAATGAGCATCCCACGAAACCGCTTGAGGGTCGATTTACGCCACCTGCTAACTCCTTGCGCAGCTACCTCTACAAGACCAAGGGCAAGAAATGAGAGACAAGCGCGTCGGGCGACGACGGCTTGGATTCTGCCCTATTCTAATGACATTGTACTCTTCTCTTCTTTCGCATGTAGCGCGGATTGCTGGCATTGGCTGCGGTGGTGGCGAATAGCGTCTTGATGAGCATGACGCGGAACACCTCTTTCTGCTGTGCAATATGTGTATGTACTTGGCGTTCGGCGCGAATACGGGAATCACAAATCTCCTCATACCAACAACCACAATCGCGTTTTCTCTGTTTTCCCCTTCAATCCCGAACCAAAAACAAATACGCCGTCTGCCTGAATGACTTGCTTTCTAGGCTCACCACAGCTTGACTACATCCTGACAGGGGCTACCTGCACCGCCCGGTCGTGATGCCGCGTTCGGTTCCGGATCTGGACAACATCACGGCGGTATCGACAAATAGATCTTCTTGAATATACCTACTACTTAGGAAACCGACCGGCGCGCGCGCCCCTCCCCCTCCCGATCGACTAGACAGCACTCTCTGCTGGATCCTTTTTCCGATGTTTGTTGGGAATATAGTATCGTCGAAAAGAATTCGTACAGGCAAAAAGAAGAAAAGAAAAAAAGTGGGTTTCGCCAAAGCTAAACATCCCCAAGTCGCTATGCCGTTTGGTTGCTAACTCCTTTCAACCCAGTGAGAATCCCTCCAGATCGGACACCTTTGAACGCCCACGCCACTTCCGCTTATCCAGCCTTCAGTAGTTTCGAGCCCGCTTCCCAAAAGAGCCTTTGATCCCACAGCCTAACCTTGCCTTTTAGTCCCGTTGCCCGCTTGCCCACGAGTGCACACACGATAGTTCGTTGTTACATCAAAACGCCGCCTTCGCCACCGCTACGAGTCTTACGTCGTCCGCTTGCGAGCAGGCTACGCGTTGCGGCTGTTGTTGTGCAACTCTCTAAGCCGCTTGACCCAGTGCTTGCGCAATGCTGGCGACATCTTGCAAAATATCATGGCCTTGTTGTCGTCCGCCAGGGCCTTTTCCGCAATCTTCAGCTGAAGGTCCATGTCTTCGTCAGAAAAGTCGCGGAAGAAAATGTCAATGGCCTGCTCGGGCCACTTTGGTGGGCTCCGGCCGCGGAGGGCGTCGGCTATCCTGATGAGGCCGTCCTCCATCAGCTGCTTACCGGCAGACGCCATGGACGCCGATGACGCGTCGTTGCCGTGGTTGGACGATGCGCCGGATCCCGATGCCTGTGCGGGGTTCGTGTAGCCCGATATGCGTCGGCGCTTCTCCGCCGGCTGTGTCGGTGGCCCCATGGGAGCCGTCGGTGCCTTGCCGCCGGCGTCGGATGTCGGGCCCTGCTGCGGGAATCGTTTACGTCCAGTGGCTGTCTCCTCTGGCGGCGTCAATGCACTCGTACCCGCGATGTGCGTTCTCGGCGGAATCGCGGTGGATGTGGGTCTTTGCTGCGGCTGTTGTTGTTGTTGCTGCTGCTGCTGCTGCTGCTGTTGTGGTTGTTGTTGTTGCTGCTGCTGTTGCGGCTGCGCTTGCTTCTGGGGTATCATTGGTTGCTGTACTTGTGCTACAGGAGATTGGCTAACTGATCCCCGAGGCTGCGCCTGTTGGTTAGTGCCTGATTGCGAAGGGGGTTGATAGGGCGGCTCAACCTGAAGATCGAGGACGGCGGTGCCCGGCATATCTGGATCTTCGGATCCCTGGATCACGTCCGGGCCCTTTCGCTTCGGCTTCATGATGCGCTTCGGGGCGCCGCCGGATCCGACCACGTCCGGATACAAGACCTCCATGAACTGCTCATGGTCGAACGGTCGACCTCGCAACGCGCGCGACAACGGCTCTTTCTGCGGCAAAGAGTTAGCGACGAAGCTCCAGGACTAGAAACGCGGGAGCAGGTGGGGAGAGGCGACGGAAAGACGGGGCGTGGAGACGCGCGCCGCGTCAACGAACCTCGATATGCGCTTTCCAGGCCTCCTCGGACGCGGTGACGGTGCGGGTGGTCGGGTTATAGAGGAATTCGGGGTCCTCGCGCAGGCCGCGCCACAGACGGAACTTTTTGCGGGCATTATCCGACTTGTTCACGAGATGACTTTTCGTGGGATAGGCGCCGTGTTTCTCGCGAAGGGCCGTGGCGGCACGGTCCCAGGCGTCAGCCTTGAAGGAATGGTTCTCGCGCAGGCCTAACTGGACAGAATCGCAGAGAGATCGGAAGAAGGTGGCTTCGTAGGCGGGCGTCCAACTAAATCGCGGTGCGCGCTTGTCGCGGTCGCCGCCGGCGCTGCCAGGTTGGCCATCTGGGCCGGTAAACTCATCGTCTGACATTGAGCAAATTCTGGGGGGCCAGCAGGGTTGAGGGCGAAGGAAGCAAGCGGCAGGGCAAAGGAAGCAGGATAATGGTTATCCCGTAAAGCGTTAGAGATTCCACCGCAGGACGAACACGCGGCGGGTTCGCGGCGGGATGGACAGCGGATATGCGGCAATGCCTTGGACCCCCCCTACAGGAGTCGCGATAGCTCCCGCCGGGTTTGGGGGAGGAAGGGGACAAGAGCCGCGGGCGATGTCTGACGTTAATCTGACGATGGGCGTTGAGCAAGCAAATGTAGAGAGAGGCGCACGCAGCTCTGATGGACGGGACGGATGGGGGCGTGCAGCGCGGAGGATTTGGCGTGTGGGCGTGTGACCCGACGAGGGATATTGGTCGGGTTTACGCGGGAAGCGAACGGCTGCGCGTGAGGGAAAGAAATCAAAGCAAGCAAGCAAGCAAGCAAGCAGCGAACGGGCTGCCTTTCGGAGGCTGGCTGCGGATTCGCTCGCTTACTTGGTTGCTTTGCATGCGTGCGTGCGTTTGTGCGTGTACGAGTCGTCGTCGGGGTGCGCGGATGCGCTCACACGTCTTTCTCTCCGTGGTAAATCAGCGAGGCTGGCGGCTGGAGCTGAAGCTGAGAAAGGGCGGGGCAGCCAAAATGACTTGACTGGAAACGAGTCGGGCGCAAGTCACGTTGTCTCTACGAGTCCGAAGGGGGGGTGAAATGGAGAGACAGACTGCCACGAGTGGTGGTGGTGGTAGTGGTGGTGTTGGGGGGGGCGGACCGGGGAGCTGGACTGGCCTGGGCGGGACTGGGCCCGTTGTCTCTCCTTGGGTTTAGGTTGGCGACGTTGGTTGGTCACGCCTCTCCTCCCTCCCCTACCGGTACCCCGAGTCGGGGTCCAGCCCAGAGCGTCAGAGGCTGGTCACCACTACTTAGGTACCCACCGAGTGAAAGATAGACACTATTGTACCCAAGACCGGCGCCCACGGATGCTCCTCCCGTTCAGATAGACAGTTCCTATTGGCTGCTGAACATGCATTCCCGCTCGAGTCCACCCCAAGGTCATGGACGGGCCGGGGTCACGTGGTATCACCTGAGTTGTCTCTTTCTCATTTGAGGCCCGTCGCCTCCACTACCTTTGTCATCATATCCTTACTTGGCTTAGCTTAGCGTCTGCTGCCTCTACCGGTACCTGTATCCTAGGCAGATAATGCACTGATACCTCAGGTTCAAATGTGCTTAGTAACGCCGACAGCAGCACCTCCCCAGATTTTCCGATTCCCACGGCATTTCCTATCGCCCTCCGCTCTTCCGATACCATTCACCCGCTCTCTCACAACCACCACAACCACCGTGCACGCCTTCTTCAACATCCGGCTGGGCAGAAACACTAAAGGCTTTTGTCCGGCCGAACCATCAAGCTTATCTGATGGAGTCGGTGTCCTTTTTTTTTTTCTCTCTCATCCTTTTCTTCTTCTTCTTCTCCGTTTCCCTGCTTAGTCATTTCTGCTTGTTCATGTGAGCGGGCGTCTGTCTGCGGGCTGGTTTTCTCCCTTTTCCCACTTTATTAACTATTACCTCCCCCGTAAGTCAAGGTTTTTGCGCCATGTTTGCCCAAATTCGAAAAGAGGGCAGGCGCCATTGACAAGATTTGCGACGTCGCTTCTTTCGAATGCTCTGTTTACAGCTCTCTCCATCGTCGCCAGTACGTTGAGTTGACTACACCCCCTCGGAAATAGCGTTCCCGTCTCACATGTCCTCCCCCTTCTCCATGAGAGAAAGCCAATCTGATATCCTTGGGCTAAGAACGCCTCACGATGCCTGCCACCACACGGCAAGCTGCAGACCCTAAACTGGTCGACATCCATCCCTCCCTCTCCAATACATACCTTGAATCGCAGGTCGACTTCTCTGCCATCACCGGGCCAAGCTGCCCAGGGCGTTCGTTGCCCCGCAAGCAGACCCTTACGACTTCATCTGCGAGGTAAGCAAACTACACAGTATTCCCAGTCGTTTAAAGCGGCAACCGTTGGCAACCCGCGACCGCACTCTCCAAACTCAGGGCACATCAACACTGCTCAACAATACCTTGCTCCCGTTGTATCTTTTCGAGTCTAAACCTCGAGTTCCGCCCCGCCCTTTTTTATGCTTTCAGATTGGCTTTTAAAGTTGCGTCTTCAAACATGACAACTTTCCACGTTCCCGAGGAATGCGTTCCGTTCAGATGATGGCAGGCGCGTCCCTCCTTCTGACCGCTGAGTCTGCCCGATACTCAGAGGCACAGGCTCAGGCGCAAAGGTAAATTATGGTTGTTTCCATCTCGTGTCGTCCGCAGGGCTCGTGGAGGCATTCTGTTGTGTGGTGAGCCAACTTGACTTGCCTCACATAGACCTATGCGTCTACAGTTTTCAGCGCATGTGCGGCGCATCGACGAAAGGCCATGTATATATATACATATATATATATATATATATATATATATATCACCCCCTCGAGGCTGTTTGTGTTTGGATGGCTCATGCGCGTGCATGGAGCCGTATATCCTGGATGCCTCCCACTTCATTCTTTGTTGTGTTTTTCCAAGGGGGTGCTGCGACTGGCACCAACTTCCCTAAGACGGTGAGATGATCTACCTGAAGCGAGTGCATCACCAATTGTCGCCACCAGGTCGGAGGACGGAAACAAATAGGCGCAGAGATCAGTTCTCGGCCATGTCATGTTTCTTGACAGGGAGCAAACAGCACTGCAGACCGTGCAACGAGGACCGTACTGTCTGCGCCTCATGCCGTTATGTGGTGCGTGCCCGGGGTGAGCCTTTGAAATGGCCGCCAGGCCCTGCGCCGCAATGTATGCCAAACTACATGCATACCTAGTTTACCAAGTAACCCGGTATACTAGATAGCGAGTATCTGTACTCTACTGGGCACCTGACTTGGTACAGTACACTTCGACACATGTGCCGTTCGGGATAATGGCCCGCTCGGAGCTTTCTTACTGGCATCACCGTTGCTCAACGCTGTCTCAGAACGTTCGGTGGGTCGTTTCAGGGCCTGTCGGGCTGACCACTTGGAGACGTCCACCAGCGAGGGGGGGCCTTTCCTCCCAATCCCTCCTCCTCCTCCCTGACATCACGCCAACAATCACACAACGATTACCACCACATTTTCGAGTCCAATGCGCCAGCAGCCGCCAACAGATAGGAGCCCGGCCGGGGACAATCCTTACCACCATCGACCGATTGGGTCTCGTTGTGCCCATTGTTGACTCGGGCCTGGAACACATCTTGCTCGCACATGGCTTAGCAGCGCCGTTTACCCGGCAAATACGTCACATTCCCTCCTATAATCTCCTGAGCTAAGCTGTCGAAGCAAACGAGTCGTTTCTCTCAGGAAGCCACGGTCGGAAAGGAACCACAAATCAACCAATCAATCAATCGAGATGAAGGTAATCGACCTCCCAACAGGAGCTCTCCCGTTCCAGATTGATGCACGCAGTGGGAGGCTAACTAGCCTCTTGGTAATGACACGGGCGGGAGCGACGACGGCTGCCTCCCTCTGTTGGGAGCCCGAGTGCCGCAAACAATATCGGTTTTGGCTTCAGCAAGGCCACTTGTTTCTCCTTCGTCTGGTATCCTGAAATAATCGTGTTCGGTATTCCTCTTCCGCAACACTCGAAGCTTAGCATGCCAAGCACCTAGCATCGAGGCCCGCGGGCAGATCGCCCTTGGCAGAGAGCCTTCGGTTTTTCTTGGCCTGCCCAACGCCAGCCAAGCGATGTGAATGAAGCTTCGGTAGCGAGCGGGAAAACAGCCCATAGGGATCGCTGAAACGCCAAGCAGAAACAACATCGCGGGCGCCGACTTAACCCCCCCCCTACTATCAGGCAGTTAACAACGGAAATGGGGATAGAGAGAGGCTCCATCGATGACACTACCTACCCGGATTACCCATTTCCTTGAACACGCTTTCTACACGGCATATGCTCGGTCTTCTCCGTCGTCCCTCCCGCACGCTCGACCCCCCATCCCCTGCCGATCCTGAGGCCACCCCGGTTCCAGGGTGCTGTTGTTCTTTGCAGCCATGGACGTGTCCACCAATACCATTTCCTTTCCAAGTTGACCAGGGCCAGGGCAACGGTGGTCCGGCGGAACACTGGGTTCGATCGAGGCCAAGAATAGCACCAATACTGCTGCTGCTGCTTCCTCCCATCCTCATCGGATAATCCGCCATTGCCCTTCCATGTGCTAGTATTTTGTCTGATAATTAAAGCACTGCCCAAAGTCGACGCGGGGGCACCGGGGAGTGAGCCTCTCGCACCCAGCTTTCATCTGGCCAAACATCCGGGAAGACCTGAGGAGAAAGGGGGGAGACGGAGACCAATCTAGCTGGCACCTCGTCTAAATGCTTAGCCAGGCGGCTTACTGGGTCTAGGTACGCTTCTGGCAAATTCTGGGTCACGGAAGACCCAATTCGGCCCCGACCGACTCCCTTCGGTGGAGAAGTGATGGGCAACAATGTCTGGCCACCTGCACCAGGAATGGACAGAATGCAACTGACCGGCAAGCTGTTCCGGCATCCTGGCATCTCTCGGCAGCATGCGAAATCGCCTCTCCCGTGCATTGCATGGTTTCCGACACCTCTGGGCCCTGGCAGACTGCGCCCGTCCAGCTCAGAGCAATCGACACTAGGGCAGTGACAAGCTCAACGCTAGGGAGATTGACAACGCCAATGCCTTGCCCGTTCGCCTTTCTCTTCGGGGCCACATCGGCATCTTGACCGCCGCATCTCTTGTATTGTGGAAAAGACTGGGATCAAGTCGCCAACCTGGCTTGCCCACGCAATTACGCTTAGATGGTTCGAAAATACTACGTGCGTGAATACGTGGTGAGATATCTGGGCGATGCCTCAGGATAAAGGCTCGCCAGTTTCTCATAGTCCTCGAGACTTTTACATCCGAATCCTGGAATCTCTTGGCTCTCTCTCTCTCTCTCTCTCTCTCTCTCTCTCTCTCAGACCTCTCTTCCCTCAACTCGAGGAGCCTGCGTCATGTACAACAAGAAAGCAAGAGGTGAAGAACGTTGAGCCGCCACGCACCCCATTGATCCGTCCACCCGCACTCTGAGCCACCCCCTTCCCCTTCTACTCAGTACGTGTACGCGCTGGCCTACCAAGCGCCGATCGCCCGATATCCTTGCTTTGGATCACTCCTTGGCTGAATGTGGGGTAAGGGGACTCCTTGCTTGCGACCGTTCTTCGGTCAACGTATTCGCGCCACTCCAAAACATGCTACCAGGTCCACTTCGTTGCCGCAACTCGCGTCTTGGAATCCCGACTGGCAGGAGAATGGGCTTTCCCCTTGCCCTTCAGCCCAAGTGGTGCATAGGTAATGGTTCGACCGGTTCGATGATTGATCCGTGCATCCCAGGGTTGGCCCCCCCCTGGCTTGACATGGACGCGCACGCTCCTTGCTCAGCGGGACATTCTCTGACCAGGGCATCACAACTTGAGACTTGACCCGCCTGCACCCTCCAAGCATCGACGCGCACGACGTCGTCGTCCCATTGTTTCTGCAACATGTATGACCCTCGTAATCTGAACACCCATGGTGGTGGCCATCTCTTGGGTGTCCCCCTTTAAACATTAACTCGGCTTGTCCTCCTCCCATCTTTTTTATTCTCTTCTTCCCCATCCTCTGTTTCTTCTCCTTCCACCCGTCACCAGTTTCCTTTCCTTCACGACTAGTGTTTTTTTATTTTATTTCTTTTCTTACCTTTGAGGGCTCCTGGTGATAGTCCCTCGTCCGTCTTTCGTTCTCGATTAAGAGGCCTCCTGGTGTGGCCTATTCTTCGAATCCCTTTTCTCGTCTCTTGATTGCCCATCTGGTGACGGACAGCACCCCACGTTCAAAATGGAGTCGATTTCATTGCGGTCCCTTTGCCTGTACGGCCTGTTGGCTACCTTCGCCGACGCTTCCCCGGTCGAGAAGCGCTCCAACATCCAGAAGCGAGGACACTTCGTCGTTCCCAGAGTGCCCAACGAGAACTTTAAGGGCCACGATGGCACGAGACAACTGATCAAGGCTTACCGCAAGTTCAGCATGCCCATGCCCCCCGGTCTGCTCGAGGCCATGGCCGCCCAGGCAGCCCAGAACCCCGAACCCGTCAAGGCCGAGAGCGTCAAGGCTGAGAGCCTCAAGTCCTTCGCCACGAACGGGACCAACGCCGCCGCCGGCGCGCCCGGGACCGGACTCACCACCGCCACCCCGATCCGCAACGACGTCGAGTACGTCTCGCCCATCAAGATCGGCGGCCAAACAATCAACGTCGACTTTGACAGCGGCTCCTCCGACCTCTGGGTCTTCACCTCCATGCTCGACGCCCAGTCCCAGACCGGCCATGAGCTGTACGACCCCACTAAGAGCCAGACCTCCAAGATGCTCCAGGGAGAGCAGTTCAGCATTCGGTACGGTGATGGCTCTGGCGCCCAGGGCGTTGTCGGAACCGACGTCGTCGACATTGGCGGAGCCGTCGTCCAGAACCAGGCCATCGAGATGGCCACTGCCGTCTCCCAGCAGTTCATCGAGGACACCGCCAACAACGGTCTCATGGGTCTCGCCTTCTCCAAGCTCAACACCGTCAAGCCCACCATCCAAAAGACCTTCTTCGACAACGTCATGCCCAGCCTCGCCGAGCCTGTCTTCACCGCCGACCTCCGCAAGAAGACCGTCGGTGCCTACGAGTTCGGCCGCATCGACACCACCAAGTTCACCGGCCAGATGAACTGGGCCCCCATCAACACCACCAGCGGCTTCTGGCAGTTCTCCAGCGAGAAGTTTGCCGTTGGCAACGGCAAGGTCCAGACCGGCCTCGTCGGTGGCCAGGCCATTGCCGACACCGGTACCACGCTCATCCTCGCCAACCAGAACATGGTCCAGGCCTACTACCAGCAGGTCCAGGGCGCCAAGAATGACCAGACCGTTGGCGGTATCACCTTCCCTTGCAACGCCAAGCTCCCCGATCTGATGATGGATATCGGCGGTGCCTTCATGGCCCGTGTCAAGGGCAGTGACATCAACTTCGCCCAGGTTGACCAGCAGAGTAAGCCCACCCTAGCCGTCCCCATCCGTTTCGTTGTACCCTCAGGAGCCCTTCACTAACATGCAACCTAGCTTGCTTCGGCGGTCTCCAAGCCACCACCTCCAAGCTCCAGATCTATGGTGACATCATGTTCAAGTCGCAGTTCGTCGCTTTCAACGGCGGCAACAACTCCATTGGCATGGCAGAGCACGTCGCCAGCAACCAAAATGTAGTGGTCGGAGCTGGGTCTGGCGCAGCGGCGTAAGCATTGACACACCGTGCGGCAGCTTCATTCTTTTATTGGCATTAAGATTCACTTTTGTTCGTGACTAGGTTCAACAACATGAACAGCGACAGCTCGACGTCCGGAAGCGAAAGGTCGTTCAGGGCCGCCATGGGAGGATTAATGGTCGCTGTGTTGTCGGTTGTGGTCATCGGCGCCTGAGACGAACTAGGCAAGGACGCGGGCCCTCTATTTTTTTCCACATATCTAAACGAACCGGGACCTAGGTGGTGAATCTCATTCGAACTTAGATATCCCTTCAGCTCTCTAGCGTAGTAAATGAATCGTATTGTGATCTAAACAGACTATTCTCCCCTGATGAGCGGTGGTCCTCTATTCACCACTCATATGGTCGCCTCTTCGGCTTTGGCCTTGTATTCCTGATTCCTAACTCGTTGACAAAGCTCCTTCATGGTGATACCGAGCCACTCAAAGTCTGTCTCGTCCAGGAAAATCTGCGCACTGATCCTAATGTACCAACGGCCCTGGTGCCAGAACAAGGCAACGAAGGTGAGATACTCGTCCACCAGTGCCCTCAGCATCCAGTTGACGACGACGGAAACCTCCTTCTCCGGCACCGTCACCGTGCCGTCTGGGGCAACCGACGCAGTCCCCACGTCCACGGCGCTCGTGACGATCGGCAGCGCGACGTTGACCATGGCGCACTTGGTCAGCGTCCCGGACTTGTTGTCCAGGATGAAGGTCCCCAGCGCGGCGGCGACCTTCTTGCCGCCCTCCTTGGCCAGCGTCCAGAGGTACTCCTGGATCTTGTCCTCTCCGCCGATGCTCTTGCGCCACTCGATGGCGTGCTTGACGCACAGGTTCGGGCTGTTGTCGAGGGTGCCCACGAAGTTGAAGGCCCTCACGAAGGGGGACTCGTCGCCCACCGGAAGCGGGTTGTGACGCTTCACCCCGGAGCGGGCCACGTAGCCGTGGGACGTCGGCACCGTCGAGGCTATGAGGTGCTGGTTCCGCTCGGGCACGTAGAACACGGCGCACGCGCGCGGGACGTGGAGCCACTTGTGGCAGTTGGACACGAAGAAGTCCGGGTCCGTGGCGGCGAGGTCCAGGGGCACCATGCCCACGCCATGGGCGCCGTCGACGAGGCTCATGATGCCCAGCTCGCGGCAGGCGGCGGTCATGGCCTGGTAGGGGAACGCGATCCCCGGCAGGCTGGAGACGACGTCGAAGAGGCAGATCTTGGGGCGCTTGCCCTCGGCGCGGCTTTTGGCGACGGTCTCGTGAAAGAGGGCCACGATCTCGTCATCCTCGAGGGGGTACGCGAGGGTGATGCCGCGGGAGGAGACGAGGCCGGCGCGGGTATCAACGACGTAGTCGATGGTAGTGGCGCAGCCGCCGTAGACGGTGGAGAAGTAGAGGATCTCGTCGAGGCCGTCGGGGGCCCAGGCGAGGTTGCGGAGGACTGTGTTGATGCCGACGGTAGTGTTGGAGACGAAGACGGTGCAGGAGAGGGGTGCGTTAAGGAGGTCTGCTATAGCCTGGCGGGATTCTTTGAGTCGGTCACGGTAGGTCCAGCGGATGAAGGGGTCAGGTCGCGCTTCGGCCTGGTCTTGGTAGGAGCGGAGGACGGCTTGGATATGACGAGGAATAGTACCGAAGGACCCTGAGAGGTTTGGTTAGCTGAGACCATGCGAAGGGATGCTTCGAGGGCGAGGGGTGACGGGTGGTTGACAGTGAGGCCGTACCATTGTTCATGTTATGATAAACCGGGTCGATGAGGAAATCCTTCAGCATGGCCTTTCCAAATGGAGTTGGGCTGAGCTGAAGCTGGCTCGTTTCTTTGGCGAGGCTGTCCATGATGCCAATTGGTTCAGAGTGGTAATGATGATGATACGCGTCACGTTGGGATCAGTGAACAATAAATGGCCTTTTCCGAGTAGGAAATAAGTCAATTGGGTAATGATGGATAGAATTTATGCCGACTGGCTTCTTAGGTCGCTATATACGCTGCTTTTATGCAAAACGGCAGCATTCTATAAGTCTTCAGCTTGAACGACCTGAGTCACCGTTGAGATTGGCTATCGTGTCTGTTGTTCTGAAAGATACGAAGCGGCCGGGTTCAATTCCGCACTGCCCGGGGCCGGGGGGCACGGGTGGGACACGGGTTTAGCACGGGGGGATGAACCGCTGCGAGCCGCCAAGCATGTTCCGCGCAGGGCGCGCGGCCTGCACCAACTGACTTTTGAGCTTAGTGAAGGGCGGTTCGATGGTATTACACCGCCGGGTGTAGCCGATTGAATCTGGGTGAGTCACTAAGAGAGCTTTGAACCAATGCAAGTCTGCATATCTGAATGATTAGAAGGAAATTGGTTGGTGGTTCATTGAATGAAGCCTCATGGTGAGCATCTGATACCGAAGGTCGGACAATGAAGTGATTCCCTTGAGACAAACGCTTGGTTGAAGTCGGCCTCCGCAAAGGCAAGACACACGGAGCTTTGCTCCAGTAACCCGGCCGTTAAGGAACATCAAGGCCTGGCGAGGAAGCGCCGGCCTGGGTTACCGATCTCGGGTCCATCGAGAGCAGACGGTGACTCAGAAAGATCCTGAAGCGGGTGGGTAAGTGGGCTGCTGACACAATCGTTGCAGGCATGGTTGTAAGACTGCAAATTTGAACCTTGTATTGTGTTGAGTATCGGACATGATACTTTTACTGTGTTACTATGATTGTGTATTGTTGATATCGTGTACCTATGCGACCCTACAGGGGACCGCCTTGGATAGCTGCCTTAATGAGACTGCAAATAAACTCGACTCCAACTGTAGACAAATGTTGTTGGCCACAGAGTGTTCCCAAAGATGGTTGCAAAAGATAGATTCTAAGTATTGGTTGACAATGTTGGGTCGAGATTGAGATTCTCCGTGACACTAATGATACTTGGAATCCAATACTGGAATGAGGTAGCATCGAAGATCGTGGCGGACATAGCTCAGTTGGGAGAGCGTCAGACTGAAGTCAACTTCAATCACTTAATCTGAAGGTCGTGTGTTCAATCCACACTGGCCGCATCTTCATCAAAATTTTGCCCTTTTTGACAATGATTTTCAGATTCATTTGTTTCGATACTGTAGTGGTTGTTAAATAGCGTATGTAGTAAATAGTAGCAGGTGTTTGCTTTATAATTAGTCTATCCTTTGTCGCCCCCTTTAGTGCGCGCTAATTTCTTCAATTGTTTAGTTTTGCTTAGGTCATTGCCGGCCTATTCCGACTCTCTCTTCCCCTTCCTCCAGCCATGTGCCTGTTGAAGATTACATTAGTGCAACCAACGTGTTGTTGTAACTCTGCATATTCCTCGTCTCTGTTCTCTTTCTTGCATTCGGTCCGTAGGATTTTAGACCTGGCACCGCACAAAGGGAGGTGGAAGATTCAGGGCGGTGCGCAACCTAAAAGTGCAGCAGCCATCGATCGGCATCGGAGCATGGGAGGGAGAAACGTGGAGGTAGTTCTCCGGGCCGGGTTCCAGGTAAGCCAGTCTCAAGCCAATGCTCGCCGTTGTCGTCTAGCGAGTCTCACAGATAAGCCAAATGCCACACAACAGAAGAAGAAGACGAGGAACAGGAACGCATGGCAGCTAGGCTAACAAGAACAAGCAGCTAGCCACGACACCTTCGCGACGACGCCGTCAGCGTTCGTCAAGGTGTTTCGAATGAGTTCATCCTATCCTTGTCTCCCCCTTCGGAACGGTTGGGACCAATCTCCGCCATTGCCGTCCCCCGGAATCAAGGAACCGGCATGTCGACGCGGGGTTGCAAGGGCGCCGGCATACATCAACACGGTGTAATTTCACCACGTCATCTTAACCGCGCCCAAAGGCCTGCGAAGTTCGGCCTGGTAAGATTTTCACCCGCACCCTCTCTGTACAGCCGCCCCATTCACAATTGGACAACGGCCGACGATTGTCCGAGACACATGCTCTTGGCCTCTGGTCTCTCCGCACTGCAACCTCCCCTTTCCCCTCACTGTACCGGTACCTCCCCCGCAAAACCTCGGCTCCCAAGAGATCGAGTGTAACCAAGCGGCAGCGTCAATGTCACATGAGAACCAGGCACACTCTGGGGAAATGACGATCTTGATCCCCTTTTCGAGCCGGAGGTTGCAGACCGCTTACATTAGAGACCGGGGGAGCTCCTCTCACAGTATTGCCTGTACCAGGGGCGAGCTCTTAAGCAGCCGAGTATTAATCGCTCATCGGGTGAAAGGGGGGGGGGGGTTGGGTTGTCAATACCAAGCCGCCGGATACTACCACCGAGCGGTCCAATAATGAGATAACTTGACTTAGCCGTTGCCCTTAATGACAGAGCCAAGAAATGTAGGCCGGGCCGCTGTATATTTCAACCCAATCAGTGGTCGTCGAAATTAGACGTGCCCCTGCAGCTGGGCATGATATCATAAGACAGCCAGACCTCAATGGGTTTCCAATTGAAGTCACCGGATGGACAGCCTCCCCCCCCTCGGCAGCTTGGCTCGAATCCCGGTGGAGCCCAAGCAGGTTGAATGGAACAGATCCTCACTGCTCAAGCGGGGAGAGCAGAGGAAGCCAAGCTCGTGTGCTTCAGGCAGACCTACACGTGGAAGTATAAAGAGGAGGACGCAGGAACCACACCCGGGGCAACTAGTGCACAACGCTCCTCGCTACCTTCCAGCGTCACCCTTCTCGATAACCACCAATCCCATAATGCATCTCTCCAAGGTCGCATTCTTCGCCGCGACGACGACCCTCGCCGCCGCGCAGGACTCGGCGAGCCCGCGCCGCTCCCCGGAATGGGACGCCGCCTACGCCAAGGCCAACGCGGCACTGTCCCGCGTCTCCCTGGACGAGAAGATTGGCATCGTCTCGGGCGTCGGCTGGAACAACGGCCCCTGCGTCGGCAACACGTCCCCGGCCTCGTCCATCAGCTACCCCTCACTCTGTCTCCAGGACGGCCCCCTCGGCGTCCGCTACGCCCGCAGCGTCACGGCCTTCGTGCCCGGCATCCAGGCCGCGGCCACGTGGGACGTCGACCTGATCCGCGAGCGCGGCATGTTGAAGGCCACAGAAGCCAAGGGCGTCGGCGTGCACGTCATGCTCGGCCCGGCATGCGGAGCTCTGGGCAAGATCCCGAACGCCGGCAGAAACTGGGAAGGTTTCGGCCCCGACCCGTACCTGATGGGCATCGCCACCAAAGAGACGGTCGAGGGCATGCAGTCCGCGGGCGTCCAGGCGACGGCGAAGCACTACCTCGTCAACGAGCAGGAGCTCAACCGGGAGAGCATCTCGAGCAACGTCGGCGATCGCGCCCTGCACGAGCTGTACCTCTGGCCATTTGCCGAGGCGGTGAAGGCCAACCTCGCCTCGACCATGTGCTCGTATAACAAGGTGAACGGCACGTGGACGTGCGAGAACGACGTGGTGATGAACAAGCTGCTCAAGCAGGAGCTCGGGTTCCCGGGGTACATCATGACGGACTGGTACGCCACGACGGGCACGGTCAGCGGCGCCAACTCGGGCCTCGACATGATGATGCCCGGCTCCAACTTCAACAACGATCCGCGGTCGGTGTGGTGGGGCCCGCAGCTCAAGACGGCGGTGCAGAACGGCCAGGTCTCGCAGGCGACGCTCGACGACAAGGTCCGCAGGATCCTCGCGGCGTGGTACCTCGTCGGCCAGGACCAGGGCTCGTACCCGCCCGTCAACCTCGACGCCGACGTGCAGGGCAACCACAAGCAGAACGTGCGCGCGATGGCGCGAGACGGCATCGTGCTCCTCAAGAACGACAACGCCATCCTGCCCCTGAAGAAGCCGGGCAAAATCGCCGTCATCGGCTCCTCGTCCGCCAACAACCCGGCCGGCATCAACGCCTGCGTCGACCGCGGCTGCAACACGGGCACCCTCGGGATGGGGTGGGGGTCGGGCTCGGTCGACTACCCTTACCTCGTGGCGCCGCTGGACGCGATGCGGGAGCGCGCGACGCAGGACGGCACGCAGGTGTCGGCGAGCAGCAACGACAACGCGCAGCAGGGAGCCGCGGCGGCGGCGGGCGCGGACGCGGCTTTTGTCTTCATCACGGCCGACTCGGGCGAGGGGTACATCACCGTCGAAGGCAACCCCGGCGACCGAAACAACCTGGACCCGTGGCACAACGGCAACGAGCTCGTGCGCGCCGTGGCCGCGGCCAACCAGAACGTCGTCGTCGTCGTCCACAGCACGGGAGCCATCATCCTTGAGACAATTCTCGCGCAGCCTGGCGTGAAGGCCGTGGTCTGGGCCGGGCTGGGGTCTCAGGAGACGGGCAACGCGCTCGTCGACGTGCTCTGGGGCGCGACGAACCCGAACGGCAAGCTGCCGTACACCATTGGCAAGAGCGCCGCCGACTACGGCACCTCCGTCTCCCGGAGCGGCCAGGACGACTTTGCCGAGGGCATCTTCATCGACTACCGCCACTTTGACCAGGCCGGCATCGAGCCTCGGTACGAGTTTGGTTTTGGATTGTGTAAGTGAACTCCTCCACCCACCCCCCATGATCCATTTCTCCTTGCGCATGACTCTTCGCTAGAGAAGACGGCGCTAACGAACGCTCAGCATACACCAACTACACCTACTCCGACATTAGCGTGACCTCGACCGCCACGTCCGGGCCCGCCGTCGGGGAGGTGGTCCCAGGCGGCCGCGCGGACCTCTTCGACGTGGTGGCCACGGTGACAGCGACCGTCACGAACACGGGCGCCGTGGCCGGCGCCGAGGTGGCGCAGCTATACATCACGCTCCCGTCGGGCGCGGCCGTGTCGCCGCCGAAGCAGCTCCGCGGCTTCGAAAAGCTCCAGCTTGCCGCCGGGGAGTCCGCCACGGCGACTTTCAACCTGAGGCGCAAGGACCTGAGCTACTGGGATGTCCCGAGCCAGAACTGGATCCTGCCGAAGGGGTCCTTTAGAGTGCGGGTCGGGGCCTCGAGCAGGAACCTTGCGTTGGAGGGGAGCTTGGTTGTGTCTTAGTGATCTTCCTGACTTCGAGACCATCAGATAATTGGGGAGGAGTGAAGTGTGTAGAATTTATGAAAATGACAGATATGTAGAAGAGATCCGGACTGTTCCTCACTTGAGACGTTACATCACCACGTGAGCCAGCTCTTCTACCGGTCCGTCCTCTATGCCAGTTCGAATGCTGCGAATTCAGCTTGGCGGAAGACGACGCTAGCCGGAAGCGCGAACTCGAGAACGGCATCGGAGCGCCGTCATCCCGCCAGGTTCGGAGCAGCTTCGCGGGCGGGTATAGCGAACGCCCCGTGATGCGAAGATCCTTGTTCATAACAGGGATGGCCGGATCGAGGCTTGCACCCAGGAAACCTAGAACATGTTTCCATTCGTTCTGGAATAAATCGGAGGCAGCAGCGTCCGACCATGTACACTTGGGTAGATGCAGCAGACCAGACCAGGTTAATGCCTGTTCACGGATCGAGTGGCAATAGAGAAGACATTGGGCGAGAGGGGGCCGTGTCTTTTGTCATCTTGGCCCGGAAAACTGAGTTGGTAGGCCCGTGGGGAAGCGCAGCACGGGAGAGGCGCGGTTCGGGGGCATTGCGTTCCCCAACATGACACGATCCGAGGTGCGAAACAACGGTGGAAAAGTGAGTTTTGTGAGGAGGTTCCTGTAATGACGATGAGAATCAAGATTAATAAACAAGCCTAGGTAGGTATTACCAATCTCAAGCGAGTCCACCGAGAGTCGAGGGGGAGTGGTGAACTGCAGTCGGGATGATACGCAGGCAGGGCGAGACTGAGTAGAGCACCAAGAAGAACAAGAAGAAGAAGAAGCATTCCTTGCGGTAGAGCCTCGCCGGCGGTGATGGCGGTGATGGGTTGGCAAGAGTGAAGGATTGGTTTGACACACACACAAACACACACGAAGTCTGTGTGGCCGCCCGCACCGGGACTGGCCGAGTCGTAGTATCGATGCAGACGAAGCACTCGATGGAAAGTGGGTATCACGTGGGCGGGGGCGGAGTGGGGCTTAGCGCACCGCCTCCCCCAGTCCACCCGGACCCGGACCCTTTCTTCCTTCCAAGCCAAGCCTCAACTCCGGAGCTGTGTCGGAAAGGTGTATCTGTATCTGCATCTGTATTTGTATCCGTATACCCAACGCTGATTATAAGGTGTGGGAAGCCTTGGTCCGCGCATCTCCCCCGCCGACTGCGCCCAGATCGCGACTCGTCGCATCGGCATCCGGGGAGTGGAGGAGGGCTGCATACGGCACTCACTTCGCCGCCTTGCGGGAAACGACGCTACCTACAGCCACTCAACTAACGGCCCTCTCCCATCGTATTTGCAGGTCGCAAGATGAACGCCCGCCCGATTCCTACCGTATTTGTTTCTGGCAAAAAAGGGGGGAGGGAAAACACACAGAAGCAGACATGCGACGATGACGAAGGGAGGTAACATCAGACGTCCCCCGTCCAGATGAGAGACAGAACCAAAAAAAAAAAAAGGAACCCCGTGACGGGAAGGCTTGGAGCCTCTGTATCATGACCGCCTGTCTCGGTACTAGTCCCCGTTCGAGGCACGAACAGCCCCCCCCCCTGTCCCACGGAGAAAGCCACGAGGGCAGGCAGATTGACTCTTTGCCCAGACAAAGACACCTCAGCATGTGCGTTTGTAATGTCGCCATGGTGTTCGGCATACGTGTAGGCATGAACTCTTTTCCCCCACACCAGGTGGTTAATAATAATAATATTCAAAGAATGATGCATTCTACCCCAGTAAGCCGAGGGGATGGGGGCCCCCTTGGTGACCAGAATACGGCTGCTCGGGTTTCAACCCATCCCGCCGTCCAGAAGATCGGGGTTGGTTTCGTTCTGCTGGTAAGTACCTAGGTATGCTCATGAGGCGGGAATGTGGAGGATGACCGTGAAAGGATGGACGCGGGACGGCGAGGATGGGGGGGGTACGTGTCCATAGGCCATCTTACGCAATAAGCCTCCCCCCATCCACACCCACCAATGACTTCGCCCCGCACCCAGCGTGCTGGCGCCGGGATCCCATTATGCCCCCCGAGGAGAAGCTTTTAGGTTCTTCCCGGTTCAGTCATGCCTTGACTTGCGTATGTGCCTGCTTTGGCTGCTTCAGCTAGGACTGTCCGCAGACATCCTGGGACGATGTGGATTTTTTACTTAAGAGGTCCTGTGCCCCGTTCGCCCTTGGTGAGAATTCCTTTCCATTTCCCCTTTTCTTCATCTTAAAAAACCATCACCACATATACGCAAGGAACGAAACAAATCTTGATACACAGGCACGGACACAACACATCCATAAACGGGACCAAGCAACCCAGACCAGACCGCCAGAGAGAAATAAAGAGAGAGGAGACAAAGCATACACACACACACTAAAACACACACACAGCCAACCTCCAAATGTCAGCACAAGACTACTACGGCGGCTCCCGCCCAAACACGCACACCCCAGGAGGCTCCCGCTCCGCCAGCTCCGAACGGCCCCGCACCGCCCACCATTCCCACTCACACTCCCCCCACCACCGCTCCCACTCCAGCGGCCCACCGCCGCCCGCCGGCGCCGACGCCCAGTTCGGCGAGGACGGCGAGCGGGGCCTCGTCTCCACAATCGGCGGCGGCGCTGCCGGAGGCTACGCCGGTAAGAAGTTCCTCGGCGGAAAGCTCGGCGCCGTCGCGGGCGCCGTCGCAGGCGCCGTCGTCGCCAACAAGCTCGAGCACAGGCTCAGCGAGAGCCACGGCCACCACGGCCACCACGCCCACGGACACCACGCCCACCATGCCCCGCCCCCGCCCCCGCCGCCTCACCACCACGGCCACCACCACGGACACCACCACTACGGCCCTCCCCGCCCGCCCGCGCCGCACTTTGGGCCCCCGCACCTCGGCGGCGGCGGCGGCAGTCACCATTCCTCCGGCGGCTTCGGCGGCCTGGTCGGCTCGTTGATGGGCGGTGGCAAGCACGGCGGCGGCCACTTCGGGGGCCATTTCGGCGGCAGTCACCACGGCCACCACGGCCACCACGGCCATCATGGCCACCACGGCTGGTAAGCCCTTTCCTGGGCGGGGAAGGGAAATGAATCAATTTTTTCTTCAGCATGTCTTCTATCTTATTTTTTTTTCTTAATTCTGTGGTTAATAACTGGCGTTATGGGACGGACGGACGGTATCCGCGGTTGTAGTGGTAATGAATTTGCTGTTTCACTCTATCAATACATATATATATACCTGCCTCGGCTTTCGCTCGAGCCCGTGCGATCATAGGTTTCGCGAGCTAGGTTGACTTGCTTGGGACAGACACAGGTAGCTTTGTTACCACAGCTCATTAAATTGTAACAGCGTCGCAAGACGCGTGTGAATCACACCTTTTATTTTAAAATCCCAATACTCAAACCGAAGCGGCTGCGATGTGCCATGCAATATTTTGATATATGATGCTACTACTGTAGCCTCGGCCATGCAATGCAATGCAATTGAATCCCCTGATGAAAACCTCAATATTCGACACCGGTCGAGGCTCGTGGCCCTTGCCCCCAATGCTCCTGAACAAACCCGCCCCTCGTGGGAGGACGGGTTAAAGTAAAAATATAAAAAAAGATGCCTTTGTAAGATTAGTAACCCCTCCCCTTTGGATGAACTTCGCCAAGTGTGCGGCTATATACGCGTCCCAGAGGAGGAAAAACAAAAAGAGAAAAAGTCGTCATCATCATTGCGTTCGTCTGATGGCCCAACGGGGCCTCGTAAGACAGGACGCGGCTCCACGCAATTCGAATAGACAGGCTGCGAAAGCCCCCCACCACCCCGGGGTCATCGTCCCGCCCCGCCCAGCCATTAGACGCCAACAGCACCTTCTGGCCGGTTCCTCGGCGGAATCTGAATTTCTTCGTCGTCGTCTGAGCTGTCTCCGGCTTGAGCAGCCTGATCAATCATCCGCTCAATGTCGGCATCTGCCAAGCGTGGCCGCGGCCGCGAGGTGCTGCCGAGGGCCGCCGGCAGAGAGAGTTGCGGACGGAGGCTACTGGGGCCGGAGCCGGCCGAGAAGCTGGCGCTGCCGTTGATACGCCTCCTTGTCGGGCCGCGCGACTGAGGCGAGTCAATGTCCATGTCGCTCACCGCCGTCATGGCCCCGGGACTCTTCTCGAAACCGACGCGTTTCTGCGGCATGGGCCGCTGCGACGGCAGGCTTTTTCGGGGTTGGGATCCCGGCAAGGCGTGGCGGCCCGGCATGTTGGATGTTGCCATGGACGACGAGTACGTGTTCTTCATGTTGGCCGAGTTTCCGGGGCTGCTCATGAAGAGGAGAGATTCGATGGCGTCCTGCTCCCTAACGTTTTGGTGAGGTGAGAAGAGGACGGGGTCGAGGAGCGGAGTCCGGCCTAACCTCTGATTTGGCGTTGCGCCGTGGTTCTGCTGGCTGGGCGTATGTGGCGACGCGCTGTGGGAGTGGGAGAGGAGGGTCGGTGTATATCGGGGATTTGAATTGCGGCGAGGGTTGTGCATGGGCTTCGAGGGCTGGATGGGAGCCGGCGGTGCGAGGGCGGGAGCGTTCTGAGAGGGGGCGGGTGGAGAGGTTGAGCTGTAGGCAGATCTTTGTCCCTCTTTCCAGAAGGACTCGTAGGTTGCGGGACTTGGGTTGGAGCTTGCCGTGGTGGCAGCGCTGGTGGGAGCATAGCGAGCCATGTTGGCGCGCGGGCTGGCCGAAGGCTCGTGGCGGCCGTGCAAGGTGGAATGGCTCGATGTGGGAGAGGCGGCTTGGGAGGCCATGGACTCGACCTCGTCTATTGAATGGGACTGCCAGCCGTGGTTCACCTTGAGCATTGCATACGACAGACGCGTCTTGAGGTCAGTCGACCACTGTGGTCGTCAGCGGCTGTGAAGGACGACGGGTTAGGGCGGAAATGGTGACTTACATCGCCAACACTGCTGGCTGTTGTGGAGGCCATGCTCACAGTACTCGTGTTCCTGGAGTGGCCGATACGGACGGGGGAGGTGTCCTCCTTGAGGGCGCCGTCGGCCATACGCTTGCGCGCCGTCGCCATGACATTATCCTCGGCCAACTTGTCCTGGGCGGCTGCGATGTGCGACAGCTGGAGTAATTGCGACTCTTGGCTGGAGGTGTGGCCGTTGGCGTTTCCTCCCGGCATGTCGCCTTGGCTGGCAGGCGGCGTGAAGACGCTGACAGACTCGGTAGACAGACTTGAATCCTGCGAAGGAATGGACGGGATGGGTCTCTGGACAGCGGAGGAGCGATCCTGGGACGATAGGGTCGGCGCAATTGGTGTATTTGTCGTCGGTCGGGCATCTATTGTACGGGAGGAATTACTTTGCTGTTGATGTTGTTGCTGCTGCTGCTGCTGCATGACGGGCTGGGAGGGTTGTCGGTAAATGTTGTGGGCGTGATGATGGTTTTGGTCGTGGATATGGGGGGGTGGTGGTGGTGGTGGTGGTGGTGGTGATTCGGAGTCGCGTCGGTCAAGGCGGGTACGGCGTGGGCGGTGGGAAGCGCGTCGGTGGAAATGGTGTTCTGCAAGACATGGCTCGCGGGCTTATCGGACAGCAGTGTCGCATCATGCAAGCTCGCAGGCGAGTGCATTTTGAAGCGTTGGTGGTCGGGGTCGCGCATGTAGCCCTGCCGAGGTGGGATCGAGGCAGAGTCCATGGCGGACAGAATAGGACATGCGGCGGATTTGGCCGTGTGCTGCGCAATAAACACGAGGCGTTAGGCGAATGGGCGGGTCTAGCCGAGGGACGTGTACGAGTGTTGGCGAAGGGTCGTGTCTCTGGCGGACACGGATAAGAATGATGGGCAGCCAAGGAGATTGTGTGCGTGCGTGCGTGTGTGTGTATGTGTATGAGTGAGTGAGGGAGTATATGAGAGAGAGAGGGAGAGAGAGAGACAGAGAGAGAGGGGGGAGGGGACGGTTCGGTCGTCGAGGGTGGAGGCGTGACCGAGGTGAGTGTAATGTCGAGCGACGCAGACAAGATGGAGTCGGTCGGGCGTGCGATGTGGTGGTAGCGGTGGTGTCAGTGACGAGAAAGAGCCCAGCAGCGCGGTTATGGGTTATGGTTGCACAGCACAGGCACTGGCCGCTGGAGTGTCCAGCTGCCGACCTAAGAGCCTGGTCGCGGAGTCAGTCAGTCAGTTAGTTAGTTGCCTGTGTCAGCAGTGAGTGCCTAAAGCACCGTCCCATCCGTGTACGGAGGAATATGTATTGTCTGCTCTCGGGCGCAGCAGGGGCGTTTTACGCGGTTTGAGTCGCGTCTCTTCCCTTCCTTTCTTCCTTTCTCTCTTTTTTTTCTTTTTCCCGGTTGGGGGTTTTATCTTTTATTTTGTTTCTGCCCGTCGTTCGCTAGGTACACATTCCACTTCCCTGATGCGATGCGCTGATGTCTCGGCTGGCCTGTCTCGCAGCGGCTTCTCCACTGCCCCCTTGCGAGTCGCCCACGACCCCTAAAGCCTCGCAATGTGGCCCTTGCTCTATAGCGTCCTGCATACCCAAGAAAATACCTAAAAAAATGACAGCGCTCGACACGCCCCCCGGCCTTCCGCTTGATCTGACTCAGCAAGTCAAAGACACGAAGTCACATGATATGTATCCATGTATCCATGTACCCATGTACCCAAGTACCTAATCACCTACCTACCTTACGTCTACGTACCCCCGTTTTCTTGGTCTCCTCCCCACCCCTTTTTACACCAAAAGGGGCCACGCAGCCGCTCTCGCATCATGGTCCCGTCCCTCAACGTCGCTCAAGGTCACAATGCAACGGGGCCTTCATATTTGCTTTTTTTAATCTATTGTCGTTGCTTGAACTGCTCTTCCGGGTCGGGTCTTGACTCGTGATTGGGTCGCCCGCTTCTGACCCCTGGTACGATCCGAGTGCCCTGCATCGTCGGGGGATCACGTTGCTGCCCAAGTCAACCCGTGAACCGAGCACAGGATGCCAGAGAGCCAGCCTGCCCTTCTCCGTCCTACGTATCTGAAGCCTCATGCGCCCCGCCATTGGGAGTCCGTGTCTCATTGAAGTCGTCGCGTACCCTCTGAATCCCGCCCTCATCGTCGTCATGTCCCCGGCCACGTCGTCCATGTAGTCGACCGTATGCGCCTCTAGAATGCATCCCCCGTCTCACAATGCCTTGCTCTCTGGGTATCCTATAGGCTCAACCGCACTCTGGCTCGTCCGCCGTCGTCGAGTGCCCGCGCGCCCCGCCGTCTAGGATTACCGCCTCGTTGTCCTCCAAGTCGTCCTGCACTCTTCTCCACTGCGCCTTCCTGTCCTTGCGGCCCTCGAGTTGCGCTCCCTTCCCCTTGGTATCCCACACCGGCTTGATCAACCCTCCCAGTAACGGGTTGTGACTGAACGCGCCGCCGCCCTGCTGCCGACCGCTGACGTAGTCGTTCTCTTTGGAGTCCTCGTGAACCACGATATCTTCTTCCTCCGGCGTCGTGGGCCGCTCTACAGCTGCCATCTTCCTGACCACCTTGCCGCCCACGACATCGATGCTGACCACCTGCCGTCGCTTCTCATACTCTGGTCGCGCGTTCCATTCCATCTCGCGAAGAATCTTTTGCTGCCGTTTGAGCTCCCTGGCTCTGTCCTCGGGCGTCGACCACATGTTGCCCCCGCTGCCGGCCATGGCTCCACTGACGTCGAAATCGGCCGCCTCGTCCCGCACCGTCGTCCGTTTCGCGTTCTGAGCCTGGAAGTTCAACAGCTTGTCGCGGTGCTCCCGTGCCCTGGCTTCGGCCTCGGACATCTTGTTCTGGCTGAACGGTGCCGGCTTCTTGCTGACCTCGGCGCGCTTGTGAGCCTCCCGGTCAGCGGCCATGCGCTCGCGTCCCCTCTCGAGCTTGAGCTCCCTGATCATGCCCTGCACATCGTCCGAGGACAGGAGAGGTGCGCCGCAGAAGGTGCATGGCCCGAGACCCTCCTTGACGCAGATGACCTTGCCGCAAGACTGGCAGTTCGGCGCCGCCGTCTGGAGCGGGTGCCGCGTGGCCACGCAGTTGCATCTCCTCGCCTTGGGATCTTCGCCCATGGTGGGGTTTGTCGTAAGCTCCAAAGACCGAATCGCCGCGTCCAGATCGTTCAGGGCCGTCGATGCGCCTGCCATGGGGGTGCCCCCGGCGATGGAGACCTTTGTGGGTTTGGCCGTTGGCTTCGGCGTCGACGATCGCGAAACGGGGTTCGATTTGGGTTTGACCTTGTCGGATATCAGATAGCCCGCGGCCGTTCTCTGCTGCTGCTGCTGCTGCTGCGGAGGGGGAGGAGGCGTTGCGCTCTTCAACGACTGTTTGAAGTTAGAGGATGCGCCTCCGCTGCTTTCCGCAGGCTGACTCGGCTTCTTTCCGCCATAATATTCCTCCTGCTGGTCCTTCTTGCTGTAGCTCGCCCCCGGGGGAGGTGCGGCGTCGATCTGTCTTGGAGCCGGGGTGTGTAGGTTGGATTGCTTCTTCTTATTCCGGCCGCGCGATGTCTTGGGAGCCGGTGCCGGGGCGCCGGTGCTGCTCGACGTAGGTGTTGGTGTCGGTGCTGTGGGTTTTGTGTCTTGTCTTCGCGAATTGAAGGAGGAAATGAATTCGACGGCTTGAGGCGAGTCACCTAGCAGGTCATTGAAATGCTCTGCAGCTTCCGTCTTGGAGAGAGTGGTCGCGTAGTCGAGCATCTGCTTCAGCTCTTCCTCCGGAAGAGGGAGCAGTCGGGATAATTGCGCCAAAGACATATCTTGTGCTCTGCCGTCGCTTCGTGGAGTTTCGTGGCGGCAGTCAGTTAGGGGTGACGAGGAGGAAAACGTAGGTAGTTGGCGGCGGCGGCGGCGGAATGATGATGAAATGGAAGAGGAAAGTGGCTCGCATCTTTTTCGAGCTGACGTTCCCTGAGCTAGCGCCACAGCTCCCCCCGCGATGGCGGGACTTCTAGTGGGGTCACCGCTGTCACCGCTGTGGCTAGGTATCTGCGTCAAGCCCCGCCATCGCCGGAAGAGTCACTCGGCGTGCGTTGCCAGATGCTGTTGACCATATCGCACCTAGACGGGCAAGCCACGGCATCGTTTCGCAGATGCGGACAGTGCAATTTCAGAATATTCAAGACTTTGATGTTTTTACTCATTATTGAGCCAACGGTTAAATGTGCGCTACCACAGAAATGCTAGCGGTGGTAGGTAGTTTGACTATCTACTTCATTCATCCTAGATATTCACCGCAAACGCACGCATCTCGCGATTCGCACTAGGACGGAACTTGGTGGGGTAGCTTCGTGTACGACTCGTGGATCTCCGTCTTGCTTGGCGAACCGGGAGGTGCCAGTCGGAGGCGGATGGAGGTCGGCTAACAGGAGCGGGCCGAGCAGACGGGCCATGAGGCCATGAGTCGGGGCCGGCAGCGGAAGACCCAGATGGACCCTCGAGAAGTTGCCGATGGGCGCCGCCATGCATCGTTGGGTGAGACAGACAGACAGACGGCTTAGCTTGGCTTCTTCAGCGTGTCGAACCAGTGACTGGAGCAGCCGGGGCTAGCATTCGCCATGCCTCGCTGTGGATTGCGCCCGTCTCGAGTAGGAGGCCATCGCATAAAGTGGCCTCGGTGCTCAACGACAATGTAGCATGTTCTCCGACGGATGCTGGGAGACCCCGGGAGGGGCACGATGGCCCATGGTCGAAGCCAGCCCGCCTAAGGAGACCCCGGGAGTAGCATACGTCGTCACGCAAGAGGATGTGTTGATGCACATGGTCTCGGGTCGAGGGAAGGATACACACTCAACGAAGCCAATGGTGTTGCTACATTGCCGCAGCAAGCACGTGCCGCCATCCCTCCATCCGGGTTCGCGTCGACTTCCTCTACCCAAGGTCGGAAGACCAAGTCGGGCAACGGACAATCACGAGGAAAAAAAAAAAAAATGCAAAAGAGCGAACAGACCGTTTGCGGTACGTACTGTCTCCGGTGTTTCCCCGTGGTATCCCGGTACCGAGCGGCGCTAGACTCTTATGTCCTGGTGCGTACTTGCAGGCATCTCGGCTACCATCGTGATCACTCGATGAATGAATGCCTGTTCAAAGGACATGAGAACGAGTGCAGCCTTAGGATCAGCCTTAAGATTCCACTCTGATGGGGTGTCGTGTCCCCAACGGAAGTGAGAGCGTCGGGCCAGCGAGGTTCCAGCGCTCCACAGCAAACCCGTCCCATCTTTTTTTTTTTTTCTCCCTCTCGCTCTCGGTGCTGCTCACTCGCTCACCAAGCCATTGCTGCGCTGCCGCAAGTGTCCACAGACCAACATGGCTGCGCGCATCTTCCATTCCCGGCTCCAGCTTGTCCGCCCCCCCCGTCCGCCCTTCCGCTGCCAACTTATTTCGCGCGCCTCT